TGTCCTCGGGTATGGCTAGGCCGCGTGGTGAAACGATCATCAGCTACCTCGACCCTCGACAAGGCATTGGTATGATTATTGGCGTCTTGATGACCGTATATGGTGGTCATACCACTGTCTGGCTAGAGGACCGTGCAGTCGAGACGCCGGGTCTCTATGCCCACCTTATCACGAAATATAGGGCAACCATCATGGCTGCAGACTATCCGGGGTTGAAGATTGCCGCTTACAATTACCAGCAAGATCCAATGGCGACACGGCATTACAAGAAAAACTCAGAGCCAAACTTCGGAACAGTGAAGCTCTGCCTTATAGATACACTCACCGTCGACCCCGAGTTCCATGAAATACTTGCAGATCGGTGGTTAAGACCCATGAGAAACCCGAGGGCCAGAGAAATCGTTGCGCCCATGCTGTGTCTTCCCGAGCACGGTGGCATGGTTATCAGTATGCGAGACTGGCTTGGTGGCGAAGAGCGCATGGGCTGTCCCTTGACGCATGAGATGGACCCAGCTGAGCGCGAAGATAGCAAGAAAGAGGAGAAAAGGTCTGGAAAGGCTGATAACAACAGTGGTTTTGGCAGTAGCTTACTGGGTGGAGGAGGTGCTCCTACGCCAGCCCCGCAAGAGCAAGGAAAGACTGAGCTTGGTGAGGTCCTTCTGGACAAAGAGGCTCTCAAGAGCAACGAAATTGTGGTCTTGGCAATGGGTGAAGAGGCTAGGAAATTCGCCGGGACCATGCCCAACGCCGTGCGTGTTGGCTCCTTCGGCTATCCCATTCCTGATGCCACACTGGCTGTCGTCGACCCCGAGACCAACCTGCTGTGCACTTCAAACGTCATCGGCGAGATCTGGGTGGACTCCCCGTCTCTATCTGGTGGCTTTTGGGCATTGCCGAAACACACAGAAGCCATCTTCCATGCACGTCCTTATAAGTTTGAAGAAGGGAATCCAACCCCGATCCTGGTTGAGCCAGAATTCCTTCGCACAGGCCTGCTTGGCTGTGTCATTGAGGGCAAAATTTTCGTGCTAGGTCTCTATGAGGACCGGTTGCGTCAGAAGGTCGAGTGGGTAGAACACGGGCAAGAAATCGTCGAACATCGTTATTTCTTTGTCCAACACATGATCGTCAGTATTTTGAAAAACATCCCCAAGATCCATGACTGCACAGCTTTCGATGTTTTTGTCAACGAAGAACATCTTCCCATTGTTGTGTTAGAGTCATATGCGGCATCAACAGCACCGACGACATCAGGTGGTCCTCCACGACAGCTGGACTCTGTTCTTCTTGAATCTCTTGCCGAGAGATGCATGGAAGTTCTCTATCAGGAGCATCACTTGCGGGTTTATTGCGTGCTGCTCACAGCTCCTAACACCCTTCCTCGTGTTACGAAGAATGGGAGACAGGAGATCGGTAACATGCTGTGCCGCAAGGAGTTTGATTCTGGAACTCTGCCGTGCGTGCATGTCAAGTTCGGTGTTGAACGATCCGTCCTCAACTTGCCAGTTGGGGTTGACCCAGTCGGTGGTATATGGTCTCCGCTGGCCTTGATGTCAAGGCAAGAACTGCTCGCCTTGCAGGACAAGCAATATTCGGGCGTTGACTACCGTGACGTAGTCATGGATGATCGCACATCCACGCCCCTCAACAACTTCAACACCATTGTGGACCTTCTTCAATGGCGTGTCTCTCGGCAAGCTGAAGAATTAGCTTATTGTTCCATCGACGGTCGTGGAAAGGAAGGCAAGGGCATCACTTGGAAGAAGTTTGACCTGAAGGTTGCTGCCGTAGCAATGTATTTGAAGAACAAGGTTAAGGTCCGACCTGGAGATCACTTGGTCTTGATGTACACTCATTCAGAAGAATATGTCTACGCTGTACATGCGTGCTTCTGCTTGGGTGTCGTTGCTATCCCCCTCGCCCCCATTGATCAAAACCGTCTGTCCGAAGACGCTCCGGCTTTCCTTCACGTCATTAATGATTTCCATGTCAAGGCCATCATTGTCAACAGTGATGTTGACCATGTGCTAAGACAGAAGCTCGTCTCGCAGCACATCAAGCAGTCTGCGCAAGTACTCCGAATCGGTGTCCCAGCTATATACAATACCACAAAGCCTACCAAGCAGTCGCATGGATGCCGGGACCTCGGTTTTACGGTCAAAAGCTCCTGGCTGAGTGCGAATCAGGCGGCTATGGTGTGGACCTATTGGACACCGGACCAGAGGAGAATCTCTGTTCATATTGGTCACGATACAATTATGGGCATGTGCAAGGTGCAGAAAGAGACCTGCCAGATGACTAGCTCAAGGCCGGTGCTTGGTAGCGTACGGAGTACTTTAGGCCTGGGGTTCCTTCATACCTGTCTAATGGGTATCTATGTTGGTAAGTAGAAGGAACTATGCTGTGGACTATGATGTTTGCAGGGCTAACGCTGGCTTTAGGAGCGCCAACCTACCTTGTATCGCCTGTCGACTTTGCGCAGAACCCCATGACGCTCTTCGTTACCCTTTCGCGCTATAAGATCAAGGACACGTACGCTACTAGCCAAATGCTGGACTATGCAATGAGTGCCATGGCTGGCAAGGGCTTCCAGATGCAAGAGCTGAAGAATTTGATGATCTCAGCCGAAGGCCGTCCAAGAGTCGATATTTGTGCGTTTCCAATTTACATCCCTAGTCAGACGCTGTAGCGCTAACGTGATTGCAGACCAAAAAGTGCGCCTCCACTTTGCTTCTGCCAGCTTGGACCGTACTGCCATCAACATTGTGTATTCCCACGTCCTCAACCCCATGGTTGTCACCAGATCCTACATGTGCATCGAGCCTGTTGAGCTGTGGCTCGACATTAGGGCTTTGCGCCGTGGACTGATCTGCCCTGTGGATCCAGACACCGATCCCACTGCTCTTGTCATTCAAGACTCGGGTATGGTCCCAGTAAATACGCAAATAGCTATCGTAAACCCAGAGACATGTACTCTGTCCCACGTCGGCGAGTATGGTGAGATTTGGATCCAGTCGGACGCTTGTGCCAAGTCATTCTACGGATCCAAACAGGATTTCGATATGGAGCGTTTCAATGGTCGGGTTATGGATGGCGATCCTAACGTCGCCTACGTGCGTACTGGTGATCTTGGCTTCCTTCACACAGTCACGAGACCCATTGGCCCTGGTGGCCAGCCTGTCGAGATGCAAGTGCTGTTTGTTCTTGGAGGAATTGGTGAAACCTTCGAAGTTAATGGTCTGAATCACTTCCCAATGGACATCGAATACTCTGTGGAGCGATGCCACCGCAATATCGTATCTGGGGGGTGGTAAGTTTCGGCCTTACTCGACTCTCATATGTCTGTTACTAATCCGTCTATTTAGTGCTGTCTTCCAAGCTGGAGGCTTGATCGTGGTCGTGGTCGAGGTTACGAGAAAGGCTTATCTAGCGTCTCTGGTCCCTGTGATTGTCGACGCCATCCTTAACGAGCACCAGGTCATCGCTGATATCGTGGCATTTGTTTCACACGGAGACTTCCCTCGGTCCCGTCTCGGTGAGAAACAACGTGGGAAGGTGTTGGCGTCATGGGTTACTCGGAAGCTGCGGACCATTGCTCAATTTAGCATCCGTGACGGAGAGGGCCCCGAGCACCCATTTGCTGAAGCTCCTCAGCATCGTGTCAGCCGCAGCTCGAAACCCGGAAGCACCATGGGAAACAGCACTCGGCGATCCACCGTCGTACCGGATCCTGATCTCATGCCTCGCTCCCCGGCTCCAGTCCTGGTCGAGCATTCCGAAGCGACCATGGGCTCCTATCCCCCTATCCCAGAGCCAAGCATCCACAGTCCTACTGGCACCCTGCCCGAAGGTGGTATGCCTTCCGTCCCGCACATCACAGAGCCAGCCCGGCCGACCAGCGCCTCAACGAACGGGGCTCCCGCTGTGCCACGGAAAGAACTTCCCACGACCATCAGCAACCCCGACTTTGGCTTCGACTTTGGTGACTTTGCCAACTCGGCCACAGCAGGATCACTGACCGAGCCTGCTGGTCACGGTCCTATGCCTGAGAGCCTCCCCTACCGAACCAATGTCCCAGCTCACGATGCGCCGCAACGCGCCCCAAGCAATGGAAGCTACCCTGTTCGGAATGACTCTTACAACCGCACACCCCTCGCAGATCCAATGGAGGGAAGTACCGGCGACTGGCCCCAAGAAGCTCTCATGTACCAGGCCAATCTGGGATACGATGATGCCCACGGCCTCCACCGCAACCAAATCTAGTACATACATACTTGATGAGCAGCAGCAGCATCAACAAAAGCACACACCATCTAACAGCTCCCTGATGCCTAACAAGCAAGGGTGAAGTAAGATTAGCATTAAATTTTCTTTTATCATCTTCTTCTCCATTTCCCTATTATTCTGCTTGTCCTCTTTTTGCATAGCCCCGATAAAAAGAAAATCACGGCTACACGTTTGCATGATCCCCCTCTTCCAAATTCTTCCCCTTTATACACAGTCTCTACCTTGTTGTCTTCTCCTGTCGCCCTTGCATTCTATTCCTTTTTTCTATAAGAGGTAGAATATGGCTATCTATATACCTGTCTACTTTCCCACCCCATTCCCCACCTTCCATCTATGATGACCGATATGCAAAATGTGTTTGTGATTCTTTTTTGTGTACATACATACCCCCCGCATCCCCATTCGCATTTTTACATTTATCATATAGGCATGCATGCAGTAGTAGCTTAGCTCTTCTTACAATACCATCCTATATAGATAAAGCTATGCTGTATTCATACTTCATACTGTATTCATGCCCAAAAGGAGTACGATATGAATTATTGATACTAGATACTAGTAGTCCCCTACTGTTTCTCTGTAGTGACTGAACTCTTTCACTACTACCACTAAAGTCCAACATTGTACGAGAGTCAAATGCTATTAAGAAAGACAAGGAAGTAACACTATGCCACCATAAGCAATTTGAAATTAAATAAAATTTAGATTCATATCACGTCATTCCTAAATCTGTACAAATCGAAGCAAAATTCTTCCTTTCTTTCTTCCTTTTCGTCTTCCTTCCCTTTATTCCCACCTCCTCTCCGTATATACGTCTTTCCTTGACAAAAAAACACAATTTTCGTACTTTTCTCTTCCCAAAAACCCCGAGAAGAAAAATGTTGAAAGAAAACAGAAACCAAAAAAACGGACCCGAGATATAATGCAAGTAGAAGATGACGACGACGACGACAGCGAAACCGATGTATGCTAGCTAATGTAAGATGAACAATTTACTGGCTCTCGGCCTGCTGGGTCAGAGCTTCAATGTCGACCTTGGGCTTGTTGGGACCGTTCAGCATCTCCAGAGCTTGGAGGTCGTCGTCGGTGAGGGTGTTGGAGCGGATGGGGCGGAAGGGAGCGGGGGAGCCGGAGCGGCTGGTCAGGAACTAATCAAGAGAGTAATGTTAGTGGGGGTGATTCTCAATAATTGAAGTTATTTGGGGAGAACATACAGAGCTGGCGGCGCTGAGCAGGGCAATCAAACTGGCCTGGACCACATCCTGGTGGATACCAACACCCCAGACTTGTTCCTTGCTGCCTGCTGCAGTGCACTGAATATACGTCGCAGCCTTGACATCACGACCCAGACCGATGGAGTGCTCCTTGTAGTCGACGACGTCGAGATCGATGCCCAGAGTGGCCAGGGCGTGGGCCAGGGAGGAGATGGCACCGGGACCGACACCGGTGATGGCGTGCTGGATGCCGTCGATTTCGATGACACCGGTGAAGCGACGCTTGAGGTTCTTGGTGTTGAGGGCTTTGCCGGGCTCAGGAGGCGCAGGCGACTGCGAACGATCCGTGGTGATGTTGTAGTCGACCAGGTTGAAGCGGGGGTTGGACTTGAGGTGGTAGGCTTCCTGGAAGAGCTCGACAACTTCGGAGGGACGCAGCTCGCGGCTGACTTCTTCGGTTCTGCGCTGCACGATCTTGCTGAACTCGACCTGCAGGGCGCGCGGGAGATCCAGCTCCAGACTGCGCAAGATGACCCAGGCGGCACCACCCTTGCCACTCTGGGAGTTGACACGAATGACGGCCTCGTAGTTCCGGCCAATGTCCTCGGGGTCCAAGGGGAGGTAGGGGATCTCCCACTTGGTATCGGGGCCGGCGGTCTCGCGCAGCTTGAATCCCTTCTTGATGGCATCCTGGTGACTGCCACTGAAGGCGCAGACGACCAGCTGACCACCATAGGGCCATCTCTCGTTGACGGGGATCTTGTTGCTTTCCTCGACCACCTTGATGACTGCATTGATATCGGAGAAGTCCACCTTGGGGGAGATACCCTGGGTATACAAGTTCAGAGCCAAGGTGACCAGGTCCACGTTACCCGTCCGCTCACCGTTTCCGAACAGGGTTCCTTCGACACGCTGGGCACCGGCCATCTGGGCGAGTTCGGCAGCGGCAATGGCGCAGCCACGATCATTGTGGGGATGGATGGACACGACATACTTCTCGCGCTCAGAGACATTGCGGCAGAAGTACTCAACTTGATCGGCGAAGACGTTGGGGGTGGACATCTCTACCGTTGCCGGCAAGTTGAAGATGATGGGGTCCTTCTCCGTGGGCTCCCACGCCTCCTTGACAGCTTCACAGACTTGAGCAGCGAACTCGGGCTCGGTGTCGGAGAAGGTCTCGGGGGAGAACTCAAAGTGCCATTCGGTTCCAGCAGTCGACGGGTCATCCTTGGTGATTGAGCGAGCATACTTGGTGCAGCGCACGGCCATTTCCAAACTCTTCTGCTTGTCCATGTTGAAAACAATGCGACGGAAGCAGGGGCTGGTAGCCAGGTAGATGTGCAGAATAGCCTTCTTGGCACCCTTCAGGGAATCGACCGTACGACGGATCAGATCTTCTCTGCAGGGGGAGAGGACCTGAAGCCAGACATCATCGGGGCACAGACCGGGGGTCTCGACCAAGCTACGGGTGAAGTCGAAGTCGGTTTGCGAAGCAGAGGGGAAAGAGACTTCGATTTCCTTGTAGCCAATGTCGACGAGCATCTTGAAGAAGCGGAGTTTTTGTTGTCCATCCTGTGTGTTTCACAAAAGAGAGGTGGTCAGCCAGGTTATGCTATTTTTTCCTCACCCATTGAGCACTGTAAGGAACTCACCATAGGATCGGGCAGACTCTGGTTGCCATCACGCAAATCGGTGGCCAGCCACCGGGGTGGGTTGTCGATGGTCTTGTTGGGCCATTGGCGGTCGGGAAGATGGAGGGGCTGAAAGCGCTTGTATTTCTGGGAGGGGTCCTTGAGCCTGAAGAGAAAAGGAGGAGTCAGTCAGTGGATGAGAATCAATTGACGTGCAATTATAACCGCAATTAAAGCATCTGTTTAACGCAGACACCACCATAATTGAGGGAAATTCAGCATTAGTGGGAGGGACGTACATAGGCATGGTGATGGAGGAGAAGGCGGGAGGATCCGCAGCGGGGAAATGAGAGGAGAGGAAATGCGGGTGGGAAGATATGGGGGGAGGAGGAGGAGGTGATGGAAGAGGTTGTAGATAGATTAGTAGTGAATCACCTCACGGGGGAAGAGAGGACAGGACAGTGATTCTTGCAATGAGGAAGAAAAAAAAAAAAAAGTTAAGAAGCTTAAAAAGAAACCAGGAACGGGGGGGAAGTCAGACAAAACGGTGACGCAGAGGAAGAATGGGTAGGATTTAAAGGCGACGGACGGGCGAGTGGCCGCCATGAGTCAAATGGAATGACGCTCGCCGCCTTTGGCCCTCGAAATTTGCGCCGACAGCGGATGGCGGATCGCCTTCTGATTTGGTACCAGCCCAGTGTCCCCTCTTCATTCAACTTCTCTCTCCCATCATGTTACATACAAAGTAAAACTATACTAAGAATTATTGCACCCTCCCCTGGCAATTCAATGGGTCTTCTCTTTTTTTTTCCCCCCGAATCAATCACCGGCCGAGAATTAGCAATCTGGTACGAAATCCCACTCCACCAGTGATCAACTCGGTTGGCTGGTTGGATGAAATGCAAGGGCAATCGGCTTCTCCGCTCCTCCTCTGGATGCTCGGCTCGCCGACACCGGAGTCCCTCGCCGCCCTTCAGGCACCCCGCTGTCTCCGTCGATAGCCGTCGACAGCCGCTACTATGATTCCATGTGTTCCCAATAGAAAGAATAGATTCATAACTAAATAGGAAAAAGGGGGAAAGGGAAAATATACTATGTAGAAGATCGTAAATAGTCTAAGCAGAAAAATTGGAAATATCTATACAGTATATCCACAATATGCTAATGCGAATAGTAATTTTTGTTTTAGGTCCCTTGAGTCTAGACCCCGTCACCGTCTTTCTGCCTCATTTCTTGCCCTTCTTCTTGTTGTCCTTCTTAGCCTTAGGCAATTGCCCATTCTTCATGCTCTCCCGTGTGGCCCGACCCTTCTTCCAGCCAGAACCAGCTTCCTGGCGCTGGCGGGAGTCATCCAGACGCTTCTTGTCCTTGTTACTGAGCTTCTGCTTCTCCTTCTTGGACAGGCCGGCATCGGGCCCGTTGAGCTCCGCCGCGCCCAGCTTCCGCGCCGCCTTCTTATCACGCTCCGTCTCGAACCACGTACGCTTCGGCCGCGACTTAATCTCCGCCTCGTGCTTGATCAAGTTTTCTCCCTTGGTCACTTGCATCTCCGCCTGCGCCAGCTGCTTCTCGAGCTTCTCCTCCGACAGCACCTCCTCTACCTCCTCCGCCAACTCCTCCGCCTTGGCCGCCCAGGAATCCGCCACCGCCGGTTCAATCACCCGACTGGCAATCTTGGCTCCTTGCGACTTGCCCGCCTTCACCGCCGCCTTGACCACCTTACGGTCAGGCTCGGCGGCAATGGTGCATGCCCGACCGGAGCGGCCCGCACGCGCTGTACGACCGACACGATGCAGGTAGATCTCGTGACTCTGCGGCGCCTCGTAGTTGATGACTGTCTCCACGCCCTTGATATCCAGACCACGGGATGCCAGATCTGTAGCCAGGAGGAACGCCGCCTTGCCCTCACGGAAGTTCTCGACACTCTTGATACGCTGTAGTTGGAAAACACCCAAGTTAGTATTATCGACCAAATCAAGAAAGGGGGATCGGAGTAAAGTAACATACCTGTTCTTGACTCATGCTACCGTGGAGTTCGGCAGCCTTCAAGCCCAGCAGTCCGAAGATGATCCGCACCCGGTGCGCCTCCTTCTTCTGTCGGAAGAAGACAATGACTCGACCAGTGTAGAGCTCCTTGCAGAGGTAGAGAAGGTAGCCCAGTCGCTTGTCCTCGCGTCCAGGACGCAGACGCACGAATTCCTGCACCAGTGTCACGGCGGTGTTCTTCTTGGCGTCGACCATCAAGCGCACAGGGCGGTTAAGACCGACGCGGATAAGCTTGTCGACCGTGTCCGTCATCGTAGCCGAGAAAAGCATAGTCTGGCGCGACTTGGGGATGGTAGTAAGAATCTCGTTCAACTCGTCGGCGAAACCGTCCTCGAGCATGCGATCAGCTTCATCCAGAACCAGAATTTCCAAAGTATCAACAGTAAAGCTGGCCGAGTTGCGCATGTGATCGATGAAACGACCGGGGGTAGCGATGATCACATCGGGACGCTTCTTCAAGATATTCTCCTGCTCGCGAAGGCTGAAACCACCGACCAGCTGACAGAAGGTGATGTCCGTATACGTCGCCAGCTTCGTAGCGACATTGTAGCACTGCACCGCCAATTCACGGGTGGGCATCAGGATGGCAACGCGACTCGTCGGGACCTTGCGTGGGCGGAACAGCAGACGCTCGAGAATAGGGACAACGAAGGCGGCAGTCTTTCCGGAACCAGTAACGGCACTACCGACAATATCCTTGCCCAGGAGAGCCACGGGGATCGTCTTGCGCTGAATGGGTGTGGGGTTGGAGAAGTTGACGCCGGCGAGACCACGAAGAATGGGACGAGAGAGGTTGAATTCCTGGAATGACCGCTTCGCATCTGCCATAGCAGACTCCGAAGTTTTCTCCTCCTCAGGAGCGAAGAAAGCCTTGCGCTTCTCCTCTTCCTCAGCGTCGACCTGACTCTCGTCGTCCGAGTCCCGGTCAGAGGCAACATCATCAGGGTGTTGAACAGGAGTGGCAACCGAGTCGTTATCAGAAGCAGCATCGTCATCATCCTCGTCCATGTCCTCGTCGTCATCACTGCCCTCAGCCTCCTCATCAGACCCTTCTTCCTTCTCCTCATCCTCCGCATCGGACTTGTCGCTCTCCTCCGCCTCACCATCAACACCCATACCGAACCCATCCTCCGCAAGCAACTCATCATCCTCAAAGTCGACCTCCATACCTCCATCCTCTTCATCATCATCCTCCAACTCACTAAACTCCTCCGCCTCCTTCTGCTTCTTCTTCTGCTTGCGAATCAACTCAGCCTCCTTCTTGGCCTGCCTCCTCGAGATAATATCATCAATATCCACAGCCTTCTTATCCCCACCCTTACCATCCTCATTACCATTAATCTCCCATCCATCGAAATCCCTAACCTCAGTCGCAGCACCGCCAACATCGAACTCGAAATCCGAATTAAGCGCGCCATCATCTTGACCCTGATCCTCTTCCTCCTCTTCATCCTCTTCATCCACTTCCTCTTCCTCAACGGGCACATTCTTCGCCTTCTTCCCTTGCTTCTTCTGCTGTTTTTGCTGCTGCTTTTGTTCCTGCTTCTTCATCTTCTTATTCTTCCCCTTCTCCTGCTGCGCCGCCGCAGCATCATCTCTCTTGCGCTTCTTCGTTTTCGACCCGGAGGCTAGCGCACCATCGTCGCCCTCACCTTCCTCTTCAAACTGATTTAACGTGTCGTTCTCGTCATCCGACAATGTGAGCACGAAGTCGTCGTCGGCGTTCGCGCGCTTTTTCGTTCCGGCCATGGTTGGCGTGTGGGAGGGAATGAGAGATTTCTTCCCTTGTTTTTCTGTAGACTTGATTATTCCGTGAATGTCACCGAAGACAAAGTTTCGAGAGAAAAAACAAAATCAAAAAGATAAAAAAAAAAAAAAAAGAGGAGAAAGAAAGCACCCCTCCTTATGTTCCAATTCAATGGGTTATGTTATGTATGTTGGTATCGGGATAAAGATGGAGAAAAAAGTTCAAATTTCGAAGGCGGTGGACGCCGTTTGCGATGGCAGAATGTTGTGCTTACTGGTGTCGGGGAGGTGGTGATTGGTGCATCGTTTATCGATATGGGAACCACTCCCTTAGATTTCTATCTACTTACTGCTAGATAGGTCTACTAACTAGGTATGCATTGGGTACATTGTATAAGTAGCAAGATTTCGATTTCAATTTCAATTTCAATTTCATTAAGTCATTAAGTAAGAAAGCTCCTATCTGCATGCTTGTAGATAATTGATACACTGTAAACTGACGTCCGGCGCCGCTTATGGTGCGTCGGCTTTCCTCTCTTGTGCACTTTTCATCTTTTTTTTTTTTTTTGGTGTTATTTCTTATGCGCTTTGTGTTTTTGTTGTTTTGTTCGTGTTCGAACACATAGGTTCGCTCGCATAGGCCGGTCATAAGGTTTGATTATTATCAAGGTCCTGCAGGGATCCTTGTTGCATTGAGAATGTCACAAAGGAAAAGAATCACATAAGAGAATAAAGTAAGGAACGGACCGGACCAGACTATCGGTATGGAAGAGCGAAGATGTTATTCTTGACAAAGTACGCAACGTCAAGACTAGAATCGTTGTCAGTCAGTTTGAATGCTGAATATCATCATTATCCTAGTGAAGCAGGATAAACACTTACAGTCTTTCGTTCTTCGCGCGGACTCCGCACAAGCGTCCTTGTAGTTCGAAGTTATTTTTTGCCAGCCAATCCCGGACCCAGCTCTTCGACTGGCGTTCCTCGGGGATGTATGTAAACGTGAAAATTAGCCGAGCGAACTCGCGACGTCCGCCCAGGCTGTACCCAACGAGACCATGGTTGTAGAAGTCATAACCGCCCTTGGTTCTGTGATTTCCATCACATACTTGCAAGAGCTTGTCCATAAGACAATTACCAATCCCTTTGCGCTGTTGCTCTGGGATGACGAATAATTCCAACTCAGCGGTGTATCTACCACTGGTTTCTGAACCGGTGTAGTCTTTGGCAGTAGCGTAGCCGAAGATATTCTCTCTTTGATTTCCCGAACCGCGCTCCACGGCAACGATAAACGGAAGGCGGGCGTCTTTGGCGGCTTGAATGCGCTGCCGGACGTCCCCTGGCTCTAACTTTCCGATGTCAACGCTCACGAAGGAGTTCTGGGCGTACCAGTTGTAAATAGGGAGGAGTTGATTGGCGTCTCTTACGTGTGCCGGTCTGAGATAAATGTTCGCCCTTGGCGTGTTGGGATTTGGCGGCAAGGTGGCCATGCATTCAAGTTGCATGCGGCGCGCCAAAGCTAGTCTCTGCTCCTCCAGCTCTGCTTCGGCTTTTTTGTGCATGACGTAGTTGTAGCTGAGACCTGCTGCCGTCTCGTGTCTGTGTCTATGAGCTAGCTCATCGTTGGGATTGAGGATTGTGGTATCCTTTGGTAGATTCGGGACGATAAAGGTTCTAACACCATCTGGATGGGCGGTGCCATCAAAATAGCCCTTGTGGTAGATGTCTGCGTAATAGGCATCCTGAATTGTCTCGTCGAGCCAAGAACGGAATTTTTGAAGCCATAAATCGTAAAACGGAAGCATAGGAGGGGCCCACCACCAATCACACAAGTGGTCGTACTTTCGCCATTTCTGATATGCGCTGGGTGGGAAAGTAGGTGGTTTGCCTCGCGAGGCATACGGATGAGCTTCGGGTCTCTGAAATTTGGCTTGCAGGGTGGTCTGCGCCTCAGTCGGCTTAGGAGATAGTGTCACTTGGTCGTTAATGACGTTAGGGTAAATGAAAGATTGCCTTTCGTATGCATCCCACAGTGGAGCTAGACGATCGCCGTCGATGAAGCCGTTACGAATCTGCTCGAGGTTATCGAGGCGGTCATCCTCTGGTTTGTCATCCAGATCATTGACTATAGAGAGAGCCTCGACGTTCAAGTCGACTTCTTCCATTGGACGCACACGTCGATATGCCTCGATTTCCTTATAGACCTCCGACTTTGGGTCCACGCCTGGGCCGTCCCTGCATTTGGCTACTACTTCAGCATCAGCCGTTTCGACCTCCTCCTTGTATAGATTTTGATAAATCTTTGCAAGTTCCTCCTTTTGTAATCTTTTGATCTCTGCTCGCAGCTCAGCACGGGTAGTAGGCTGCTTCTCCTCGGATGGTTCCCGCGCTGGCTGGTGAATGCTGCCCCCAAGAGGGGTACCGCCACCGGCCTCTATTCCAGTCTGTCCTGAAGCATCCTGATTTTGAGGCTGCGATGTTTCGGCTCTAGGATTACGCAGAACGACATAATCCGAGTCACCACTGGACGACATTTTTCCCTTATTAGCTTCTCAGGTGTCAGTTAGCACATCTCATGGTCAAGACGGAGGAAGCGGCATTCATCGCTTACCAGGTAGAGGACGCTGATGTGGCGAGCCAGACGAAGTATTTCGAGTGAATGTTAACTGACTTGACCTCTGAGGTGCTTTTGCGGCGTGTGAGATGAGAGGAGGGTGAGAAGGGCGTGCGGTGTTTCTCCAATTCTTCTGCTCAGTCCCTTGACCTCCTTTGTGTCTAGGGAGGATGCGCTGGTCGGGATTCTGATATTGGTATGGTCTTATGTGTGGTGGGATGTAGGGGGATGGTATGGATGTGGATGGCGATACGTGAGAACTGTCACACAATCTGCTCACTGGCTCAGGTAACTTGACAGTTATTTTGGAAGAGATTTTGGGTGATGAGGGGGGTTTGTTTTCATGTAAAGGCGATCGGCTAGTGGCCACAACCGGCTCAGGTGCTTTAAAACACTTGGGAATCGCCGTGGCGATCGCCTTGTGTGCTTTACAAGTAACTGTGACTGCAGTGCTATTTGTCGATCTGATGACAGTCGCTTGCATCGTATCAGCCTGACTCGGACTCACCGGATTGCGCAGAGGTGAAGTGTTACTGTTATTCTCGGCACATCGTCGTTGCGAAGGCCGGTATCCAGGAGACCGGTATTTATTGGAAATCGAGGCGCTCGATACACTATCACGTGTCAATTTCATTCGCGCCCATAAGTCTGGGCTGTCATAGTCATAGTTGTTCTTCTGTGACATCTCTAACAGTGAGGTAGGTTAGTATCACTCATATCACCTCTCCCAAGGTTGTTCATGTTAGGCGAGGAGTATCCTACTTGACATTGATTGCACTTATTGCTGCTGGAGGCCTCTGGAAAGACTGAATCACGGGGCCCTATCTAATCAAAACAGAAGATGCTGTCTTCTAATCCTTCAAGCTGCCTCTGTCGTTGAATGACAACACGGATAAGGATGAGGAGATTCCTGTCCTCCTGTGGACAGAGACATACTGAGGCGTATGCGATGTGCGCACTATTTAACGAATTTCGATTCCTCCCTAATGTCACGTTATACGCACATGGTGAATCTTGGTACAGCTGGGATTAAGTGGTTGCCTGTTATGTCTACGTGAAGGAAATGCATTGCTATTCCAAATATTTGATATCTGCAATGACTCTGCTCACATCTCTTGTCCTTGTTGTGAAAGTGAGAAAGTGAAAAGCCAGTACTGGGAATGCTATTACACAAGAGTATAGGACTACATTAGGGTTATTATTGGTTGTGCATGGGACACATGGCCTATCATGTCTCACTGTGATGTGAAGGACACGAGGTGTAGTATATTCGACCGTGAGCGGGATCTATATCGAGCTTGTCGTTGGTCCAATCTTTCTTTCCCCTTCAATTACCCCAACTACAAACTGCGACATCACTGAAAGTCCAGTGAAGATGTTGTCCATTTTGAGAAAAGCCCGGCTGAAGGATAAGGAGATGCGAATCCTGATGCTGTGAGTCTCACCCAATGATACTTACAGCTAACGAATACCTTCACTAACAGCCATGGCCACAGAGGTCTGGACAATGCCGGGAAGACCACCATTGTCAAGCAGATTATGAATGAAGATGTCACCACTGTCAGTCCGACATTGGGTTTTATCATCAAGACGATAGATTTTCAAGGGTATGACTATCTAAATCATTCGATTATCTACCAGATTTACTCGCTGACTTCTACGCAGATATAGACTCAACATATGTAAGGATGTCGACCACTGATACCGCCCAGCCTCCACTAACCACCTGCCATCAGGGGACGTTGGAGGCCAAAAGACCCTCCGATCTTATTGGAAAAATTACTTTGAGAAGACAGATACATTAATCTGGGTCGTTGATGCGACCGACCGTCTTAGAGTGGATGATTGTAGAGATGAGCTCGCCGGGCTCCTTTTGGAAGAGGTTCGTTGCCATCCCCGCCGGCACCGCTGCGCCCGCCCAAGAAGAGTTTTGCCAGTCCCGGGCTAACCGTCACGCAGCGTTTGATGGGAGCAAGTCTCTTGGTTTTCTTAAATAAGAGCGAAGTTGAGGGATGTATGAATGAGAATGAGGTTCGACAAGTAAGTTTATACTCTTCACCCTTTTCTTCCTTTTATCGCTTTGGGCTCTTCATGTCGTGTCTTCCAGCGATCATTGACTGATGTTCTTGTCCACAGCGGCTTGGCTTGGATTCTATCAAAACACATAAATGGACGATATTACCCTGCAGTGCGATGACAGGAAAGAATCTGCATGAAGGGCTAGAATGGGTTGTCCAAGACGCCAAAGATAGACTTTTCCTGTACTAACTGATGTGGAAGTCTATGGCTTGCTCGGCACCCTTTGATGACCGCGATATGCTGTTTGTTTCCCTTTTCGATTTATTTTCGTACTTATGGTCTTACAATAATGGCAGGAGCCATATTCTCTAGCATTTAATGGTTATGAAAACTGATGATTCGTTGGCGAAGGTGCTGGTGATAGTAGTAGACTTTGCCTCCTCTACTGAAGCACTAGTGGTATTTATATATTCTTCACGGAAGTTTTGACCATACTAGTAGTACCAGTATTCAGCGATGGGTTCATTAAGCGTGTCAATAACCACACTACTACTATTGATGCATCTATACCCATGATTGAACTTCGTGTATCCTGAATAACTCCTAACCTATGAAGATAGTTTACAAGGGAGACAACGTTCTAGTACTATGCTGGCTTGCACTCATTCTGCCCGTTAACGACCTACCAAGCACCACTAGTAGAGCCCCTGTCTCAACTGTTAGTGCCTGGTCGGGTATCGGAACGGCGATCAGACAAATCGCCTTCAGGGTCCACGAACTACACTACGATGGCCCTTGTCGAACATGGTAAAGGCAACGGTGTTCCCAGTTCCCACTAGGGGAGCGCCTCGTCTCGTACTTTACGTCAACCACGAGGTTTCAGCAAGGATTGCCGCCAGTAATGTGTCTCACGATACTAGTCCTGCGCCGGGTGGAAGGGGGAATTAATGTCGTCAGACCCAATCCTGCTGGGTGGTTGATGGGAACTAAGAAGCTCCCGCTTATCTTCGCATATCCACCTTTCTTTCCCCCTTCCCCTTCAAGGCCATCCATCCGTGGATTCCACACCAAGTTACCAAGCTTTGTGTGCCGAGTTTGACCCAACCGAGGTTCCCAAGGATAGTAATGCTGCCCGAGTAGAAGGGAACAAACTGGAAAGCAGGCCGGGCCAGCCAGGAAAAATTGATTGCGTATCCGATCGCGGGGCGGCAGAGAAAGTTGAGATTTGCTCCACCGCAAAAGCCGGACCCGGAAAAGTAAACAGTTCTCCGTGTAGAGAAACTTCCAAACATCCCCTCGTCAATTGATGATGAAGCTTTTGGGGAATCCGAGCGGACATCTCTCTTTGTTTTGGGATTTGCGACACGATAAGCCCCATCAGGACGGGCTTTGATCTCGCCTATTTGGTGCCCGGGAGGAAGAAAGTTAAGGGGATCAGCTCACAGCCGCAGAGCGAGAGAGATGCGCAAGTGTCAATCCGGTCGGGCGCCTCATCCTAATTTCCTCTGGGCTTCCGGCTGTGGGGCGGCAGCTGATGTGCGTGCCTTCGCCGGGTTTTATTTGACGATGGAGGAGCATTACTATTCTTGCCTTCACGGTGCTCAGCTGGCCGTCGATACGGATCCACCACTAGAAACGAAAAAGACGCTGCCCGGCTCTCACTGCCATTCCTTCCTTCACACTGGATCGCCCAGGGTGAAAGGTGGAGTAAACCAGACAACGACAACGACAACAACAGCAACAACAACAATGAGCTGGAGGCACACGAGTATCCCTTCCTAAGGCTCAGATCCGGCACGAATCAGTCACAGAAAGTCCCTCAAGCGGGCAAGAGCCAGAGTGTCGCTCAATCACCACCACCACCACCGCTAACCGTGACACTCCCTCCACTCTTCCTGATTACTCCAACACCTCTGGTTCAACAAACAACCAAATCATCCTCCCCCTCTCCCCCCCCCTCCCCTCTTCTGTCTGGTGCCTCTTGTCAACACCCCACCGTTCCTGGGGGCCTTTTTTTTTGTCGGTGTTTAATCGGATTGAAAGGGCATCTTTTCTTTTTCTGACTTGCCATTTCTGTTCTGTTCCCTCTTTTTTTTTTCTTCTTTACCCAATTTTTGGGCTCATTGAACAAGTGCCAAGCTGGCCATGTCGTCCACAACCGACGCGGATGGCACTGAGGATGTCAACGACTTCCTTTTGCGCATCCGCGAATTAGGAGAGAAGCGCGATAAAGAGGACGAGGAACGCACAAAGAAGTTGGAGGAGGAAATTCTGCAGGGTCGGAAGGAAAGACAGGCTCGGAGAGCTGGTATTTGATTTCCCTTGCTTTTTTTTCCCGGCGCCCCCCCTTTCAAGGCAAATTCCCAGTCGCCATGACTCACGGTTGGCTGGCGGCTGGCTGGTCCTTTTCCAAATCTGTCATCTTCAGGAATGCTGACTGTGTCCCGTTTTTTGGGATGCAATACAGAGCGGGCACGGTCGATTTCCCCCACGAAAGATTCACCGATATTAGATCCCGCTCGGTTGAGCATGTCTTCTTTCAGCCAGCGAGCGATTGACCCCCCGGAACACCTCGAGCCTACCCCTCACACCCCGGGGCATGACACTGGCAACGGGGTTGAGTCGGTTCGAGATGACGCATCGATATCCACCGACAATGGCCGGAGGGGGTCTACTCTGACGGCAAACGATGGAGAGACGGCTTCCAGACCTATCTCACCTTTCCGGAGCAGAGCCGGCACTCTCTCCTGGCAACAAAGACCCACGTCTCGGGATAGCAGCAGGGCTTTCTTCTCCGCGTCGCCCTCGCGTGAGAGCCGTTTTAGAGCCATGTCCACAACGTCTAATGATGATCATGGGGTATCTAGGAGCCCATTCGCGTCTTCTCCTTCGTTCAAGGACGTACCGTGGGCCCGCCACACAGAGGGAGGGAGCCCGTCTCCGACCCGCGCAAAGCAGGTAGAGGAAGACTCACTGCACCCTCTGCACCCTGATACTGGCGTCAAAGAGTCGGAGGCGAACCAAGAGCACACCACAGAGTCGGCGAAGGAAGCAGAAAATAACGAGCTCGTGGAAGAGCGATCGCGGTCTCCATCAAGGGCAAGCTCGACGTTTGCCGAAAGCAGTTTGGGTAATCGGTATTCGAGCATATCTTCTGTGTCGACGGCCACTGGGCTTGGCTCTCCTTTGCCTCTGACGAGCGCACAAAAACTCGAGCCGCGAAAGACGGAGGACGTCGCAGATGACCAGATAGCATCACCCCCTTCGCCTAGGCGTTTGTCTCCCGAGCGTTCTACGTCTCCTACCAAGGGGCTCGGTGGATTCGTGCAAAGTGCCATGATGAAGCGATCAGATAGCGTGTCTAAACGCTGGAGCGCTCAGCTGCCGTCGGGGCTTAGTCGGGGTAATTCAATTTCTAGCAACCGCAACAGCTTCGCTGCTCCTTCCGGCAGTGATGTTTTCTCCACTGCGCCTTCATATAGAATGAGCAGGGATGGCGCAAGTCTTTCGCCCTCGCGGCCGACCTCTAGCCATCGACCCGGTTCCAGCCATAGGCCTGGTTCTAGCCACAGACCCGGGTCTAGCCATAGCGAAGCGACTGTCGTTCATCCGGTCAAAGATAGCGAACGACCAGCTACACCTCCCGTTCCGGGCAGTAGTGGTGCGCGGCTAGATGAAGAGAACCGCAGACCCTCTCTGAGTCTGCATACACGGTCTACCAGCACCGTTGAGAAAAGCACGGATTCCAGCTCGTTACCACCATCAAGCCCGTCAGTTTCGAGAACGATGGATCCCAAGAGATGGAGCCCGACCAAAGCTTCCTGGCTCGAGAGTGCTTTGAACCGCGATGAATCACCTAGGCATAAGCGACAGCCCTCTCAACAGGCTTCTTGGGTCAAAGATCGGCAATCAAGAGGTAGCGTTGACTTGGGTCGAACCGCAAGCTTCAAAGAGGTCACACCCGTGGGCCTTATGCGGACTACTGCTCCTGGTGGTCACTCGAAGACCTCCAGTATCACCGGCATCCCCGACATATTTTCCAATCAAGATGCTGGGAAGACAAAGGAAGCAGATCCCGAAACCACCGTACAAAGTGCAGATACTCAGGATAGCACTTTACCACCTGCAGAGAAGACCGAAGAGGCCTCTCCTTCGAAAGAAGAGTCGCCTACCAAAACAGAGGCGGAGCCCGAGAAAACGGAAGATGAGGCTACTAAACACAAGCGTACGCCGTCTAACCTGAGCCCAATAACCAAGACCACTATCGATGCGCCCCTGGCATCCCCTCGTGATCCGCTGTTGAATCGGCCCAAGCCTCTGTCTCCTGTGATAGATTTCAGAGCCAACCTTCGACGCAGGGAAGTGGTTAAGGATGAGTCACCCAGGGAGGAACCGGAATTCAAGAATATCTTTGGAAGGCTGAAGAAAGCAGAGTCCTCAAAACACGTGCCGCCGGACGAATTGAAAGAGAATATCCTCAAAGGCAAGGCAGCTCTGAACTCCTCGGGCGGACCAAAGAAGTCGCAGAAAGTGGATGAATTGAAAGACAGCATCCTGAAGCAGAAAGAAGCAATCAAAGCCAGTGGGGGCTCGCTGAGACGTAATACTGCGGGGGAGAAGGATGCTCCTGGCAAATTTGTACCTGAAGCAATTGCAATGCGGAACAATTTGACCAAGTCCAGCAGTATCAAAAGCAATCTTTCAGCAGCCGATTCTTCGTCGCCGCTTTCGCCGCTCTCGCCTAGAGAGCCGGGCACACCAAAAAGCACGCATGGCTTCCAGGTTGCATCGCCACTGTCCCCTGCCGGCGCTGAGCCCCTCGAAAAGTTCCAAGGCTCGCCAATCGCTCCAGAACCACCCAAGCCGGGCGTTGATGATACTGCCGAGGAGGCCGCCCAGCCAAAACTGCCGGAACAAGAGAGAGAATGCGAACATGAGAAGACAGACGGGGCAGAGGTGAACGCTGAAGAGGTAAAGGAGGAGGGCATCAATCCGGTGCGTTCTCTGCCACCGGGGGATTTGATGCAGGCTACAAGTGCACCTGCTGAGACCGAGGGTCCTGCTGCTAAAAGTAAACTCGCAGGCCGATTAAACCCTGCCTTAGCGGGGCTTTTGTCCCGTGGCCCGCCCGCACCGATCAACGGGTCCATGAAAGGTCCTTCTTTCGGCAGTGCTGGGGAAAGCAGCAGCTCAGGAGTGGAAGGTTCTCAAGCTGGCGCACTCACTCATTTGACCAAGGGTCGAGCTAGAGGGCCAAAGAGACGCCTGCCCCAGGGTACTACACCGGAAGGTACGAACTCACTCTTTGATGAAAGCAATCATGTACCAGAGTCTCCGCCAACACCTTTGGATGCACAGAGACCAGAATCGATGTACTCGGAGACGGAGGAGGAAAGTGATGCACCGGATATGCCAGCACATGTGGATGTAGATGAAGCCGAAGACATGCCATTGCACACGGAGACGACACATGCTTTAGAGCCATTGACATACATGGAAGAAAAGACCCCCGAACCTGCGAGTCCAGTCCACGAGGCTATCACGCATGCACCAGAGCTTCCGGAAATTGTGGGAAAGCAAGAACCTGAGCCCCTGAGCCCACTGCACAAGGAGAATACTAATACCCCAGAGCTGTCGTCACCCATTGATGAGGAACCCCAACCTGATAGCCCAGTGAAAGAGGAAATGAACTATGCACCCGAACGTTCAGCGCCTGTCCATAACGAAGAACCCGAGCCTACCACCGAATTCCAGGAAAAGATCCACGATGCACCTGTGCTCTCAGCACCCAAGATTGAGGAACCTCGACCTGCTAGCCCAGTCATTGAGGAAGAGAACGATGCACCTGTGGTTCCAGCGCCTATTGATAAAAATGAATTTGAACCCGCGAGTTCACTCCAGGCAGAAGCTCACGATGTTCCAGCGCTCCCAGCACCTAAGATTGAGGAACCTCACCCTGCTAGCCCAGTCCAGAAAGAGAACGATGCACCCATGGTTTCGGCGCCTATTGATAAGGATGAATGTGAGCCTGCGAGCCCACTCCGGACAGAAGTCCACGATGTTCCAGTGCTCTCAGCACCAGCCGATAAAACCGAAACCGTGCCCGCAAGCCCGATCCGCGTGGAGGTAAACGATATACCGGTGGTATCAGACGAACTTGAGCCCGCAAGCCCACTGCAGGAAGCAGTCCTTGATACACCAGCGGAAAAGGATGAACCTGAGCCTGCCAGCCCGATTCGAGAAGAAATAAACGATGTACCGGTGGTTTCAGCGCCTGTTGAAAATGGTCTACCTGAGCCTGCGAGCCCCCTCCAGGAAGAAGTCCACAATGCACCGGTAATTTCCGACCCAGTGGATAACGATGAACCTGAACCCGTGAGCCCGATCCACGAAGTCAATCCGGCGCCAAAGCTCTCGGCACCCCTGGTAGAGGAAGCCACACCTGCCTACCCAACCTACGAGGAGAACAGTGATACACTAGTGCCCCCAGCACTTGTGAGTAAGAAGAAGTCTGAACCTGCAAGCCCAATCCAGGAGGAAATCAATGGTGCACCGGTTGCCTCAGCGTCTTTTTGTAAAGATGAACCTGAGCTTGTGAGCCCAGTCCAGGAAGAAGTTCACAGTGCACTGGTGCTCAATGCACCTGCGGGTATGAGTGGTCTTGATGCTACGAGCCCGATCCACGAAAAAGCCAATGGAGCGCCAGATCTCTCGACTCTTTTGGAAAATGAAGAGGCCAAGCCTGCGATCCCAGTCCGAGAAGGGAGCATTTATGAGCCCGAGCCTTTAGCTCTTGCGGATGGCGAGAAATCTGAGGCTACAAACCTAGCTCTCGAGAGCCCTGATGCCTCAGGACTGCCAGGACAGGCGGAAGAGGCAACACTCGAAGTTACAAGCCCGATCTTGGAAAGGAAAACTTATGTACCACCGTCACCGGTCCATATGGATACCAGAGAAACTGAAGCTACAAGCCCGGTTTACGACGAGACTGATGAGGCCCAGGAGATGTCGGCCAGTGAGGACGAGAATAGGCCTTCATCGTCAATATTTGGGGTGGACGAGCCCCCATCGGCCTTTTTGGATGCGCACGTTCCCGAGCCCATGGTTTCTGCCGCAGAAGAGAAGAATGTTGTTCTGAGCCCCCCTTCGCCAAAAGCAGAAGAACCCGAAACCAGAAGTCCAGCTCCTGAGGCGGGTGATGCAGTACCGAACTCTCCATCAGACCTTTCGGTTGCACACGAGCCAGCACCTGCACGCCCAACCTCGGTCGACAACATTGGTACTGTGAAGTCTCCATCATTGGATGCAGAGTTCGAGCTTCCCAACTCTACGTCAGAAGTACCCGAGGCGATCCCGAAATCTCCAGCATCTACTTTGGACGCACAGAGGTCAGAAGCACACGTCTCACCCATTGGCAGTCCTGCGGGAGCCTCCAGCGGCTGGCCCCTTCCTAATACTGAAGTCAAATCCAATGACGAACCGCAAGCGAGCCCGAGTCAGCTTAACACGCCAGCAACAAGCAAGCCGACTGAATTCAAGAGGAGCATCCCTCGTTTGATAGAGAGAGAGACCCCGCAGAAGCCCGATGACACGAGCCCTAAACCCTCAACAGTGTTGGATCAGACTGCTACCAATATCCGAGAGAATGCCAGCGCATACTTCAAGAGTATACGAAGCTCACTCTCGGCAAAGCCTCCTTTGCCACCGAAAACAGCCCCACTGCCAGCAACACCTGTCTCTAACCAGACACGGGCTTCGCCAACTCACTTTTCTTCACCCTCTCCTTCGCCTTTGAGGGCAAGCTTCAGGGACAATCAAAGTTATACTCATCCAACACAGCAGAGGTCCGCGTCCTCGCTCTTTTCCACCATAGGTTCACGCAACTCGTCGCCACGGGATAAAGCTTTGCCTTCTCCCCCGGTTCCTCCTAAGGGGTCCAGGGCCTCTGTTGACCGCTTCTCCTCGAGATCTTCAACCTCTCTTGTACCTCAGGCCGATGAATCTTGGGAAGCCATATCTGATTTCTTCAAGACCTTCCCGAAATCGAGCGACCGTGTCAACATTGATACGCAGTTAATGCTAGCAGATAAGAGCGACAATGCCAAGATCAGGACTTTGAAGAGACAGTTGTGGGAGATTACAGGAGATGGAAAGAAGCAGGATCTTCCTGTCAACCAGGAATACATCTTGTATGAAGGAAGCATGTACCTGTGCGTGCATCTTTTTGAGGCTGATGGCACTGTACGCTCTGAAGTGCACCTCTGGTGTGGTGATGATGTTCCCGACTCCGCAGTCGATGATGCCCAGGCTTTCTCTCGCAAAGTCGCCAAGGATAATGGATCCAAGTTGGAGATCATCAAGCAGGGCAAGGAACCCGCTCGGTTCATTCAAGCTCTGGGGGGCATTCTCATTACTCGCCGCGGCTTGAGTTCTCGCTCTAGCTCCTCCGCCATTTTCATGCTCTGCGGGCGCAAGCATTTGGGTCAGATGGTCTTCGATGAAGTCAGCTTCTCGCCAAGCAATCTGAGCTCCGGCTACCCCTTTGTGATCTCTGCGATGTTCGGCAAGCTCTTCCTCTGGAAGGGCAAGGGCAGCTCCGCCGAAGAGATTGGTGCTGCGCGCCTGATTGGCATGGACCTTGGGCTAACTGGTGAATTTGAGGAAGTGGCTGAGGGTGAGGAGCCAGAGAGCTTCTTCGAAGTCTTTCCCCATTGGGAACGAGAGATAGGCGATACCAGCACCGACTACTGGCGTGTGAAACCCAACCACGAGCGATATCGCTCGCGGCTTTTCCGTATCGACCACGAGCTCGGCCAACGTTCAGGGTTCTGGCTGCGTCGCTCAGGCTCGCCTTCTCCGGTTATCCGGCCCAATGACACTGTCCAGGAAATCGAGCCATTCTGCCTCAAGGACATTACTGCCAAGGGAGTCTATGTTCTTGATACCTTTTTCGAAATCTATGTGTATGTGCCCGTTTCCTGTTCTCACCGCCCGACTGCTAATATTCTTCCCTTGATTAGGATCGTGGGCGACCAAGCTTCCAACCGACCCGCCGAGTTCGCATCTGCGGTAGTCCTTGCGCACGAATATGGAATTCTCACCGCATCGCTTCAAGACCGACCCTTCATTCCGAAGAGCTTTGTCGCCCTCGGAGGAGTCCCGGAGTCTTGCAGCACTGCGTTCCGAAAGTGGATCCCGGGCTATCCTTCGCAACGCCTTCCCCAGGTGTTCCCCCTCAATGCGGCTATCGAAGCGATTCGGTCCGCTTAATCTTCTTTTCTCTCGGCTTTTCATTTCTTTCTGGGAGGTGTCCTCTCTCGTTGTGGTATACTTTTTCTTCTGGTTTCTAGCTGTGCATAGCGATTTCGCGGGGTTTTACATGTGCATATACTAGCTCGACTAGGTCCATCTGTACAGAACTGGGGACTGAGATGGCATGGGATGGGAAAGTGGAAACATTGCTTTTTGAATTCCAAGGAGCCTATAGGGCGGGGTGTGTATGTGGCAGTCATTTTGTGCATATCTACATGACTGTGTGCTGGGAGTTACGGTTGCTGTTCACTTGTTCTACTTTTTCCTTCTTCGCTTCGATGAAGATATTGGCACTGATTCCGTGTACGATACATATTGCCTCAATATAGAAAGAGTTCTACTTTACTAAGACAGGAGGTGAGATGAGAGCCGAAGCCGGACCTCGCCGCCAACCGTCATCCAGCCTGGCTGCTCTAGTCTTTTTCTTATCAATTGCTAAGGCTACTGATTACTGGCATTCTTTATATGAGGGGAAAAATGAGAATCATAATAAGGAGGTTTGGCGAAAATTGTAAACTGGACTGGACAGACACTTTCTCCTTTGCAGCTGGTCAGCTGGAATAAGGCAACTCAGGGGATTATTATTGGTTGACCCTAAGTGACTGTAGTATACTACGTTATTGCCTCAATTACCGTTCTCTACTTTCTTTTTCCATTTTTTACAAGATATCCCCTTCCCTTTTCCGTCTTATTGCATACATAGAAAGAAGAACCATCGATCTTCGTATCCATACCTGACCTGTCTACTTGCTCGTTGAGAGAAATATTTGTATGAGATCTTTTTTGTGATTAGCCGCCTCTGTTTGCTTATTCCGGGGTTCTCAGCTGGACTTCTGACGAGTAGTAGCCGATCTGACTCGAGATCACTCCGGTTTTCGCATATTTGTTGTTGTCCCCTTGGTCACGGGTCTCGGAGTTATGGCACTCCGTGTCGACGAGCATCGGTCGATGTCCGGAAGGAAGTGTATTCGTTTTCTTGATCTGCAAGATGTGGAAAAGAATGCACATCTCTCCCTCGGTTTGGCTGCCTCTACTCCGTAGGTTGGCCAGTGTTTTCCGAAGCTCTCAAGAGAAACATCTGGTGGGCAGAATTGGTCGAAATACTACATACATAGCTGGTTGTATGTCGTCACGGAGTTTTGTCGGTTGGAAGGAACAAATTAAAAAAAAAGAAAAAGGAAATAGCCCTGTGGCCTTCGTGGCAGCCACGAGTGGGAAACAGAGCGTCGGCACGTATACGTACGTAGGTAGGTATGTACCATTACCCATTGAGTAGTCTGACAATTCAGCAGCATTTCTGCGCGATCATGCTCTTCGGGGCCGAGGAGAGGTGTTGCCTGCCTGTCCCGAAGAACCACAGTTATTATCCCAGCATCAGCACATCAGCACTAAGTACTACTGTACCGCGGTGTGTATGGTAGTAGACCAACCACAATCGCCCAGGCTTTCCACTCACTGCTCTTTGCCATATGGGAAAGTGGGAAGGGCTCAATTACTCACTCACTCAATCAATCAATCCCTGCCGCTCATCCAGGTTTAGAGCAAAAAAAAAATCAAGAAATTCCAATTCTTTGATTGTCCATTGGCTTGGCTGTTTTCCCGTGGATTGAAATTGTAGACAGAGATCATGCTAGGTTATGTCATGCAATGCAGGTGATGCCAGGATTTGCCTGGGCACGCAGCAGGAGATTTGGGATGTATAGACTTGATCGCGAAGTTTCTCACCGGTTTTTGTGTTGCGCGCTCTATCAAGTTTCTCCCTCTGGGTTTTGCCTCCCAGGAATTCTTATGAGAGTGTCTTTGTTGTTATTGTTGTCGGTGTGTTTGTGTCATCAGGAGGATCGTCATGGGACCATATGGACGCTGTGCCATCGGGATGGGGAGACAAATATCTGGCGGAAGGGCAGAAGTGATAGCACGACTCCCATGGTCATAACAATAACAATAACGATAACAACCAAGGAATGGCGGGAAGAATGAATGAAGCACAAACGAACGAGTCGCACTGGAAAGTCATCATGGACGGACGGGGGAAATAGGGAAAGAACGTAAAGTCACGTTGCCGTGATTGGCTCCATTTGGCAAGAGGCCGGGCATCAATCCGTCACTTCTTTCCTGTTCGGTTGCTTCTTTTTCGTGCTTCGTTCCATCCGCAATTCTCCCCTTCCAATCCCGCTTTTCCTTCCTCTCTCTCTCTCTCTCTCTCTCTCTCTCTCTATCCTTCCGTCTTCGGTCCATTTTATGACATCTTTACGATTATTTTCCAGTCATTCTGATGTTTACTGCCTAAATCCCGAACGATGCCCAGGCTTGATCGACGGGATGCTCGCAAACTGAGATTAACCTTCAGCAGGGGTGACAGTCAAAAATGACCTATCCTGAATGCCCCGCGCCTTGCCTGCGCCACAGTTATCCCCAGGACGTTCCTGATGTATGGATTTCAACATTTCTTGACGGAAGTTTATTTTCAGTAGGGCAAATTGGAGGGGCCAAGGTTAAGCAGACGGAGAAATCTACCATAACCACCACCACCACCACCACCATAACCCCTCCGTTCAGGTCCAAGGCCCTGCAGGTGAGCGGACCTTTTGTTTCCCTGCAAGTCGCCCGTGCGGTTTGACTTGCGCTCACGCAGGATCCTCGGACCCCCTCAATTCAAAGCGGGTGAAAGAGGGGAAATCACATCAATGATCCTGCCTTGCTCTTAGTCCTCCTACTAAACACTTGACGGTGTTATCGGATCCCCTGGGGCCCGGGCTTGCCTGATCTCGTATCGACTCTATGAGGCAACTCCCTTGACACAATGTGTGGCCCGAAGGTGACAGCAATCAGAGATACTGCAAGAAATTAGGATGGAAGCAACATTTTTTAATCAAATGTATTGAATTCGAATATATCCATGTCCATGCCATGTTTTTTTTTCCCGCCCCCTTTTCGGTAGCAGGACTCCAGTTACGTTTTCGATACAGGTCAACATGCACGGATACTTTTTTTTTTTTTTTTTCTATTCCCTCTCTGACGGACCCGAGCTCGTGCAGAGATGCAATAAGCGCACGCCGTGCAACCCCTCTGCACCTGGTAAGTCAACTGCAGCCTGATGCGCTGACGCTTACTCAATGTTTATTACACTTCTGTCACCAACAATGCCATTGCACGCATCCTCCCAGTGACCTGGGGCGGGGTTTTTATTCAATAGATTGGCAACCCGATTTCTCCTTATTTGTTTATTATTATCTTTCAGGTGATCTTTTGACAGGGCTCATTATCGTGCCGCTATCATTTTCGGCATGACAGCAACGCCACACACCATGAATGGCCTTGCTGATATGACGGGAGTGGACCTTAGCAATACATAGACCCCCGGACCCTGTTTTAGACCGACTACTTACAATACTGCGCTTACAAAGCTCAGAATGATTTACTAGCTCTGCCGATGAACAAAAGCATTATGCGGCTTTTCTTGACTGGATGGAGGCCACCCGACTTTGCCGCGCTCATTTTCTCTTGACATTATTATTTTTAAGTGTGCTGCACGTCTCTTGCTTACTACTAGGCCGAGTTAAGCAAAACATGCCTGTGCAGGTGATTGCCCGAAAAACTGCGGGAAAGGGAAAAAAAATTAGTCAATGCAGGAAAAAAGGAAAGGGGAAGAGAGAGAAAAAAAAGGTTAGAATTTGAAAAGAAAAAGCAAGTGACAGCCCACACCATTGGGCCAACGCCGACTCATCGCCCTTGGCGTAACGCTGAACTCAGCGAAAAGCACGCGCTCGTCGATTGCATGGGCGGTAGTCAGAGTGTTAGTGAGCCGGTCATCCGTGTGCCAATAGCAGCTGGCAAATCATTCGATACGCGCCTGCCAGACAGACCTGTGGTATCAATGTTTCCCTCATCGGCCCCGAGCTCTGCCTGAGACTGCAGCTCCGGTCCTCCTGTGCTATGGCCATGTCTCACCCAGCAGCACTGACAAGAGGGAAAAAAAAAAACAAGAGGATGACAGGCGAGGGGTAGGAAAGAAACGGAATACGGAAGCGACAAGTCTGTCGCCAAAGAACGACGCGACGAGATGAGTACCTGACTGTTTACTCTTGATGCCGACAGACCACCACTGGCATGGCACAGGAAGGTCAGCTTGAAGGCTCATTTCTGCGCTTCGCTGCCCAAATGACCAGGATTGTGCCCGGCTAGTGCCGATGAGCAATGCCATGGGCATTCTCTGGTTCTGACGGCTCGGACCGTCGACAGGCATGACTGCTGGCGTGTCTCGCGCCAGCAAAATTGGGAGGAGTAGGGGGTGGTGGTGGTCACCTGTATCAGCAAACAAAAACATAGTAGTGGGCTGGTCAAGAGCATATCCGGACACATATGCGGGGACCCCTGGGTGTACCTGCTAGGCTGCCACAGCCACAACGGCCTGAAGGACGTCGAGCGACCGGTGCCGGTTGATATCGTGACAGGCCGCTTTTCCACGTCACCATCGCATTTTCTCAGGCGATATACATCTCGTCTCGTCTCGTCTCGTCTAGTCTTGTCGTCGGAGGGTGGGGTAGCAAGAGTTCAAGGGAGGTGCGGGGCATTCGATATGCAGGCTGGCATAAAATGATATCAACTTGATTGAATTCCTTCAGAGACAAGTCAAGACATGCCCTCTCAGCCTCCTCTGCTGTCACATCCCTCCCCCCTAGCAATTATCTCGCACCCCACCTGCTTGCTTTGCTTTGCTTGCCTTGCCTGCTTTGCTTTGCTCCAAGTAGCTGTCATTCATCATCTACTTACCCCTCCCCCTCCTTTTCCTTTTTCTTTCTCTCTCATCTGCACCCTGCTACTTATCTATTAGTCAGGTCTCATATCACTATCAGACCCCCCTCTCGTCTTTCCTCCTCCTCCTCCTCCTCCTCCTCCTCCTCTTCTTCATCTTCCCCCCTCCATTCATCTTCCTCTCTGTTCCTTCCCTCTGAGGGTGTGCGCAATTGTTCTTTCTTCTCATCTCTGTTATTGTCTTGACTGTACACCGGCACTCCCCTGCAAGATGTCGAGGCAGCCTAAATTGCGACCCAAGTCGCATATCCCTGGCTTCCCAGACGCCATCTACAATCTCGCTGCGGTATCGTCTTTGTCGCAACTGGAGTCTCGCGCAGGACTGGGAGATGAGAAACATGACCAGCGCGTCTTTCGTGTCAAGCGCAAGCATGTATTAAAGGCTTGCGATCGCTGCAGAGTTAAGAAGACCAAGGTTGGTGAAGTACTGGGTTCTTCTTTGTCATCTTTCGCCTCTACCTTGGCCTCAGTGCACTTCGATGGCCAGCCATGCTCATTCATGTTAGTGTGATGGGAAACAGCCGTGCAACCGTTGTTCGGCCTACAATCATCCGTGTCTGTTCCGGGAACGGAAGGCTACGCAGACCAAAGTATACTCTCGAGGGTAAGGTCATGATTCTTACTCTGCGTTATTTGGTGTGCCCCCTTTCATTGTGGTCTGTCAGAACTAACTGGTGGCTGTGCGTGTGGATAGATTCGTCGAGATGCTTGAATCCCACCATTCGCTGGTTGTCAAGGCGCTCCAAAGGCTATACAAACTATGCATTGACAAGGAAGGATTCCCCGGCGAGCCTCTCGTCGAGCTCTCGGACGGTCAGCCTCTAACTCATGCCATCCTGGATCGTCTCGGATTGATTAAACAGGCCGAAGAGAATCCAGAGGAGCCCGAGGAAGACACTGAAGACCTGCGGTACCTGCGGTTCCTGTCCACCTCGACGGATTGCAGTGCTACGACGGATCCTTCCCCGGAACCAGCCACTCCTCCGGATCCTACTCCCAGTAGTTGCAGTCCTATCACTCCTACCTCCTCCAAGGGGCCAGAGCCTTGGAAATGGGAGTTGCAACCTGTCCAGCCCCTTCACTCGGGACAATACCCTCATAGTTACTCTCATCCTGTATACCACCAGATGCCGTTGGCGCGAACAAACCTGGAGCCACATGGCCTCTCCAGTGAAGATAAATGCCCAGAAGTTGTCCCTTCTATGGCCGACCATGGACATCCCCTCTATTACTACATGGCTGCGAGCTGTGATGAAGGGCCCCCAAAAAGCCGCCTGGAAGCTGGCGTGGCAGCCAGGCCAGGCTCGCACCAGCCCGCCACCGCATCGGGATTTCCTGTGGTCATGATGAATGACTTTAACCTCCATGTACCGGAGCATCAGCCCGTTTACCCATCTCTTCCATCTGGCTGGACATATACATGTGGATAGGGGTGGTCACATATCATAGTATCTCTATCAAGTGACTGCGGTCCTTTTCATACTCTTTTCTACCCACTTTCTTTCCATCTGACCGGCCTTCTGACGCCGTCCATCTCTCGTTCCTTGTACATGCACATGATACAGGCCGACAGCCATTCTTGGCCGCCTATTCTGCTTTCTTTTTAGCTCTGTATCGTGCTGCGTACGGTTTAATGTTTTCTATCATAGCCCTTTATGGAGTACCTGTGAAACTCTCGGCAAGGTTTATTCTACATCATATCATACCCGGCATGGCGTTTTGATCGGCTCAAGCTAGCCGAGACAGGATGATTCACTGACATGTACAAGCAGGCAAGGTCACAGGCGTTGAGGGGTTGTTCCTTGACCTTCCTCGACTCATGCGTTCGTTACTACTACTAGATACGGGCCTATGTAGGCCTTTACTTCACTTCATAGTCTCTCTCGGACTTGATACACCGACTCTTTTTACTCTACTCGCACTTCTTATCTTCTTCCTTCCTTTTTTCTCGTTTCTGGTCACTTTTCTTTTCTCTCTTCCCAGATATCCCAGAACAGAACAGAACAGAACAGAACAGAACAAAGAAGTGATAAGCGAGCAGTTTACTACACCATACATACATATACAACATGCATGATGCATCAATAGGAAAAGAGAACAACTCCTCAAGGTTAGATTGTGATTCGGCAGCGATGCGCGTACAATGAATGAATCGAACAAACAATAAAACAAATCATCCCTTAACACCACACCGCCCCTTAAGAGCTAACCAGTACAGCAAATGACTTCTACTAATTTCAGTCAGCAAAAACTAAGCAAGGGGCCTCGTACTAGTGTGCTACTTTATCTAAGGCGAGGAGGTTGCTGACTCGTCCGCTATCTACTACATACTGTAGCCTCATATGAAGAAGATGCCAAGCCAGTATGCAAGCCACACAATCACGCTATGCAATTGCCCCACCACTACATTTGAAGGATTCATTTGATAGTAAAATAGTAAATAACACAACAAAGAACAACACACTGCAACCAAAGACAAAACACGAATAGCAGACTGAATAAGGAATATTACTAGTATTTAATTACAAGCACATCGTTTCCACCGTAGTTTATCACAACTAAGTATTTACCCTTATGAAATACAACTTAAACTGCCCAACTATTAATCAAATAACTAGTAGGGGAAGAACAAGCATAGTAAGTACTAATTACCATGAAATTATAAATGTATGAAGAGAAGAATGATACTACAAGACAAAAATTGAGATTTCAAATATGAAAATATCCCCTGCTTTCATTGCGAATATGCTATGGTATGGTATGGTATGGCATGGTATGTAAGTTATATAAGATGATAACACAAGCAGCAACAGCAACAGCAACAACAACAACAACATGATGCAAATGCAAAAATTGCAAAAGTACTCCATCCAAATGATGAGATACACAAATCACCACGGATTAACAATGATTCCTTGGATGTAGTAGCTAATGAAGAAAAAAAATAAAAGAAAAGGAAAATGAAAACTCCCGTAGTATAGTTAGTAGTGGTAGAAGTAGTGGTAGAAGTAGTAAGTATCCCGTAATAAAATGAGTTTGGTTTTATTCTTTCTTTTTTTTCTCTTTCTCTTCTCTCTTCTCTACTTAAATCCACACTTATCTGCTTTAGTCATCAACATCGGTCTCTGTGTTCGTGTCGCTGGTATCTCCTGCATCTCCGTCGGTGTCACTTTCGTCATCGTCGCTGGAGTCGTCAGAGGGCTTCTTGGTCTTCTTCTTGGGTGGTTGGCCGGTCTTGAGGGCTTGCATTTGGCCGGCTATTGAGTCTGTAGTTTATTTCGTGGTTAGTATAGGATGATCTATTTGTGAGACTAAAGGTTTAATGGGGTGGCTTACCCTCGTCAGGTTCACTGATATCATCCTCCTCATCCAAAGCGGCCGCCTTGGCCGGGTCGTCAATGTGAAGGGTGATTTCCATCTTGGTATCGAGACCCAGGTAGCTATCACAGAGCATGTTCATGACGAAAGTAAAGTCACCGACTTGGGGAGGAGCCTGGAACTGCATCTTGAGAGTCTGGACGTTGAAAGTGGGCTTGCCGTCGGCGTCGAAGAGGGGCTTATCGAAGGTGGTGAAAGTGAAGGGAGGAACGGCCATCTTGCCTTGCTTGGCGTCGGCCAGGAAGATGTGCCACCGCGGCGAGTGGTCGCGGGCCAGGTAGGGGGCGTGAGCGAGGGGAGGCTGGATGGATTCGACCTTCTCTTCGACCTTGACGCCGTTGACGAGCTTGGTGGTCTTGTTCTTGGCGGGTTTGCGGCCCATTATGGCGTCGAGGTCATCTTCGTCGGGGTCGATGTCTTCGAGGTCGGTGGGGTTGACTGGCGGGACGTCTCCGCTGTATCCAGGAGGGATGAAGCGGGCCTTGACGACCAGTTGGACGAGACTGCTAGGAGTGATGACCTTTTCGCCCATGACCTTGAAGAAGGCACGGGAGACTTCGAGAACGGGGAGCTGCTTGGCAACGGTAACGGCGGAGGTGTACTGCTTCTCGGACATGAGGCCGGCACCGACAGTGAGGCTGCGACGCTTGTCTTCGGGGATGCTCATGAACTTCTGGACGGTGAAGTGTTCCTTTGCGTCGGCGCCTTCAACAGACTTGACGACTTCCTCGGTGAAGTGGGGGAGCTGCAGGAGAGGGGACGAGCCAGGCGCAACAGCTTGGATGAGATGCTGGGAGGTCCGGAAAGAACCCAGGATGGGTCGGACGTTACCGAATGCCAGAGCGATGGCTGTGAAAGCTTCATTCAGCGACAGAGCGATCGGTGCAGCTTCGTACTTTTCTGTAGGTACATCAGTGTTAGCCGATTCTAAAGAGACGCATTGGATGCAAATTCACGTACCTCCGTTAAGTGTAGTGTCTTCCAGGTCAACGCGGCCGAGGTAAGCCCACAGCAATGCCAGAGCCTTGCGTCTGCTAGATTCGTCCAAACCCTTGATGATCTCGCGATCCTCGGGCGACAGGAAAGTGGAATCCTCAGCCAGAACCTTCTTCTCGAGCTTGGCAAGTCCAGCATCCGTTTTAGGTCCCTGAAGCATTTCCTTGAACTCTGCGCCGGAGGACAGGGCGTTGACGATGCCGCCATCGGTGATATCCTCTTTGTATTCGCGGAAGATGTTTCCGGCACTTGCGACAAGAACCCGTTCCTTAGTGTAGCGCTGGGAGCCATACCACCATTTTCCGACAATGTAGGGCAACAAAACACCAAGCAGTGCACCGTAGACCAGCAGAGTGTACTTGGAGTTACCCTCCGAAACGATGAACGTGGGCAGAGCGATACCGATGCTCATGCTCTGCTTGCCATCAGGGTGGCCATACTGGATGTAGTTGTTGCGGATTTCCTCGTCGGTGAGCGCCTTGTATGCCTTGGTAAGCTCAACGAAACGTTCGTTGAGCATCTCAATAGTCTCATTCTTTGCGGGGTCCGGCCGAATCTTGTCAGGATGGTAGATAAGTGAAAGGCGCTTGTAGTGTCTCGAGATGGCTTTCTCATCAGCGCTCTGAAAATCGCCATAATTAGTACTGCTACGTAACCTATTGGTGGAGGCGACCAAAACGCCAGGTGGACAGATTGAATGCTCACCCTTGAAACACCCAGAATGTCATAAGGATCCCAAACTTTGGGCACCGTCCTCGCGGTGACGACGATCAGGTAGGCCATCCACACCATGACAGCGTAACCCACGACAACGGTGATTATGCGCTTAATGCGGCGCTCTTTGCGCAGGCGTTTGCGCTTCTGCGCCTCAATAAGCTCTGCATGTTCTGGCTTGAACTCGGACTTTATCCGGGGAGCGGTGTTTTCGAGACCTGCAGCAAAATGGGAGAATTAGTACCAATCACAACCGGTCGGTGGAAACCTGCGAGTCTCTAGAGGGTATAAGGCTGGTACGAACCCTTGCTCGGCCGGAGAAGGTTATATGTGAGAGGGAGTGTGACAAGACTGGTGAGGGTCAGGACAAAGAACGGGAAGAATTGTCCCTGGTGAAAAAGTCAGTTCGTGTTTTTCATTGGCTTCCGATCCAAAAGGCGACTGACCTTGTCATCGTAATTGTAGTCGGTAGACATGGTGAAGCAATTTCACAATGGACACGGTCGCCCGCAGCGGGCAGGACTGGAACAAAAAGAGTGTCTCCCGGACACTGAGTAAGCTGCGTGACAGATATGTCCAGCAGATCAAGACAATTAGTATAGGATTCAAGTAGTATAATAGAGGAGCATTATCCCTCTGTCAGGCGTGACAAAAGAGTGTGGAAGGTGGAGGGAAGGTGAGAGAGCAGGCCGGAGTAACTGTCGACAAGATGGGATTATCCGCATCGGCGTCGGCTGTACCTTGTGATCGACCGTGTCCTTTACGGGGCCGTAGGGGGCTACACCGCCTGCTTTAATGGGATTGGTGGCTTGGTCCCAATTATTCAGGCTTTCAGGGTCATGTGCTTAGTTTTGGGACTACTTTTGACTTTTAGCTAACTAGTCCTCCGTAAGGCGTGACTAGTTCGTCGATGACTCTATTGCGATGAGTACATTTTCACTTGAATGCTCTGTTGTATGAATGAATTATCATGGTGACATCCTTTTGACTAATGTCAGGCCGTACATACTGATACTGTACAGCGCTCAGGTCTATCTACTAGGATACAGGAAAATCTCCGGGTTTAGGTATACAAGCATGTCACATCCAAGCTTCATTTCATCATAAAACTGGTATCCGTCTTTTTTGTGTATCCCAGGAATGGACAACTTTTAACGCCATCCCAAACTTTTTGGTAATTTTCGTTTCCTCATAAATTTCGAGCATCAGAGCCAGCTCTGGGTATTAGCGTGGGAACGGGGGTCCCCTACACGCTAGACAGACGGAAATGCAAAAAGAAATCCGCACAATGTGAGTCACTTACCCGCTTCGCAGGGAATTCAAGCGCCAAAATGACCGGAGACTGGGTCGGGCACGAACTCGACCCACGAAAGCGACTAAGCCCTCGCCATGGCAGACCCTCTGATCTCGACGTTGCAAGCGTGCCGGTTTCCTCCATGCCAGCGTTCACATGGCCAAGCCTTTCAAAAGACCAATCCAATCGCGCCTCTCCCTTCTCACAGGTAGAGGAGATCTTCATTGCTACAAGTCATTGACTTGGGTCCTCCATTGAAAACTGGTTCTCGCGCATTTATTTCGAGAGCTGGTATTGTTCTGGTTTCGCTGATGTCGGATTTTGATTTTCGATAATGTCGGGATGGGGCCCGTTGGCGATCGGTTGAGTATTGCGTGCCATTTGGATATGCCTTCGTTTCCCTTTTTAGGTTTTGTTGAAAAATATTTTTTCCACCGCCTGGACGACAATTATAGGATTGCTGCAAAAGAAAGCCCAATGACGTCTGCAGGATTAAAGTCACCCAGGTAGTGCGTTTAAGGATTGTGGACTATGAGGGAAATGTTAGTCATTGTTCTTCCAGTGCTAGAATTTGAGTCAAGAAACTCACCAATCGATATAGTCGAGTCCACCGAAGTACTCCAACATGCGATAACAGAGACCAACATCGTCGCCCGGGACACCGCCAAAGAGACGATACTGTTCTGCCTCCAGCGTAGAAGCCTCCATCCTCAGCGCACGATCACGCTTCTGCCCTAGCAAATGCCCATAGTGCCAGGTCGGGGCGGGTATTTCAGGACAGTCGAAAGCGGAGGGAACAGCTGGAGCGCAGGTATTGACAGGTCGTGGGAAAGGGTGGGACGGAAGAAGTAGAGGATTGACGCTGCGGTTTCGAGATCGGGGTCGTGTGCGACGTCGATTATGTCTCTGGCCCATTCTCCGTCCAATCCGGCGAAAAAGAGGATATATAGCTTGTTGAAACTTTTTTGTTCTTTTCGAGGTGTAGGTCGTAAAGGTGTAGTAGGGGAAGCGGGTATTTTTTCAAGACAATAGTCCCCAGTTATAAAGAGGGGATCTATTGTCCGAAGAGGTCTTTTTTTTATAATAAGACGATTAGAAAGGAAGGAGTGACCATCACCCCTGGGAAGGATGAGATGAGGTGAGGAAAAAACCCAAGCCAAGGGGGGATCAGGAGATCATGAAGCGGGAACATGCGTATATATAGATGTGGATGGCGGATGGAGAATGGCGCAACCCGAACGATTGCCGAAACGGGGAAAGCAGTGGTGTGACTCACTACATCCCAATAAGGTTACAAAGGCACAGAAAGCAGGACGAAAATCTTCACATCCGGCTCGGGGGGATCCACCCAAGCATCCCCCTACTGTCGGGAGTGCCAACTCCACTCTGATGCAGTCTAGAAGCAGAAATACCTAACCCTGCTTGCCGATGGTGAAATGTGGTCTCATGGAGAAGGGCGATTGCGTAGTGATTTGGCTCGCACCAATTCATCTCTAGTGGCCCTACGGAGCACAAGGGCGCGACTCCGTAAGTACAAGAAGTTTCACGAATTAGGGTTCTCCTGAGTCACTACTCCCCGACAAAAAGTCTAGTTACTTAGTCTACTACTATTCTTGGTTATACCCTTTTTCTTTCTCTTTCCCTTGCCTCCTCCCATCGTGATGGAACCAGTAAGAACTATTCGCTACCTTCCACAATGAGTGAGAAAATTCTGGTTCAGCCTAGCTGCCTAACACAAATAAAATCTCTGATTGAGTTCTGTGCGCCTGGCAAAGGAAACAGAGACAAAAGAAGAATTTTAATGCGGCCCAGTCAGTAGTACCCACGGTGCAACTTAATCGGAATAAATGGAATTATTAGACCATCAGGAGACGTTGAACAAAGGGTCGAAAGAGAACTGAATAAAGAATAACAAAAAATAAAAAAAAAATATGTCGTCAAATATTATCCCAAAATGCAGTGGTCTGACGCCATGCAGAAGGAGGTTCTCGGCCCCGAATGAGCCAAATTTTCTTTGCGATGAGCAAACAAGGTACTCCTGTTACAATACCAAAACCCGTCTCCGATGCCGCTGTCCCCAGTTGTGATGTCATGTGATCTCGATCGACATAGTTTTCTCTTAGTCATATCTATATCCACGCACTTTTCTTTTCTTTTTTGCAGGACCACATTTGAAACCCACGAGGACTCCAGTTACAACCACGCACCTTGCTCAAGCCGTTTCAGCCTGGCCGAGTGGCGAGGGGTGGATGCCGTACGGGCCGAGCGGGTATTATGACGCGCCAAAATTACCTTGCATTAGTCGAGTCCAAGGCAGTTTAGTGTTCAATCACTTCAGTCAGTCAGGAGATGACAACAACATCCTACCCCGGCTGCTTCGGCAGCATCTTTCACTTACGGAGGAAATCGGGCATCTTTTGGTTCAGTTGTCAAACTTGTCAGATTTTGTTTCCTATTTACTCCGCGCGTCGATCTATAGCGGCATGGCTGATAGATGGTACTACTAGTAGTACTTAGATAGTACTAGCAGTAGTCTTTATTGTGCGGGAATCGATCAATAATTCTAGATCCAATTTTCCCTTTTTGTCGATCAATTGTTGACGGGACGGAACAACTAACTATACGGGTGCACCCTTTTCGATAATCCCAATAATAAAAAATAATGCCTCAACACAGCCAAAACCGCATCAATAACATCCTACCCAACCAGTTCAACTAATTAACAAGGTATATCCCTCAAACTCATTGAATTCTCGCCCCCCTCCACAAACTTACTCACCTTGGGGGCAGCAAATTTGAGGGAAAAATCTCTGCAGATCTCGGTACAAAAAAAGAAAAAAAGCCGCAAAAAAATTCTGCTTTGACCGACTTTCGTGGCTCTAATCCGGCTTTGACACATGTCCCATACTATACTCCTTTGGCATCGATAGTTATTCTTTGTGCTGCATGAGTGCTTTTTTGTTTGTTCCTGGCGAACGGACCCGGACAAACCATTTGCGATATGCGACTACGTAGCGCGTGGCTGGCAGGTTCTCTAGTGAGATGCATGCCTGAATATACTGCAGTAGTGGATATCAAAGTTTTACTGGCATATATCTTTCTTAGGATGTATGCCTGAATCACGGAGTAGAGTTCCTGTTCAAGTTGTTTGTTTATTGTTGGTTGGTTGGGTAGGTAGCTGCAGGGCAGACAGGATTGAAGCAAACTGCGAACCTACCACTTACTAAGTTACTGATATGCATAGCTATAGCTATGAAGCTATAGTATAACTACCCTACCCCAACCACAACTACCACGTAGTCCCAACAAACGTGGCCCATCTAAACATCACATCTACTTCGTTTTTCACACTCGCAAACAAACCATCCTCTCCCTCTCTCTCACTCACTCACAGAAAGACAAAGCCCTATCGCACTAAACCAACCAACTAACCGACCCCCAAACTGTGTGTCCACTGTCCAGCTTCTACGTGGGCACACTGGAACTACGTACTAACTCATCCCATCTCTTTCCGTCTTCCCCGAGACTCCATTTCCAACACTACCTACTTACCGTCGGAGTCCCATTTTCTCTTCTAACCCCCGCAAATGGAGAACACGATAAACTAACTAACTAGCCCTGATGTGACCCATCCAAACCCTCCCCTCCCCTCCCCTCCCCCTTTTACCACAGTTTGTTATTATTGTTTCTAGTGGTGGTGGTGGTGGTGTTGTTCACGCATGAATAACAAAAAGTACTACTACGTACTACGTACCTTGCAAGCCCTAGGGCACGGCAAACCTACTCCACCCCTCCACACTACTATCTACCGCCCCCTTTTGTGGCTTTCATTCACGATGGGGGCGTAAAGAAAAAACCGAGTGTGTGGAGTTTTCTTGTGGGCGGGAAATCTTGGCTTGGAATGATCGTGGGTTTTCTAGACTGGGAGGGAAGACTACTAGGTCTAGACAAGAAGTTCGGGAGGGGAGGAAGGGATGGTGGATGGATGGGGGCGGTTAGTTGCGGGATGGGATGGGACGCACACTTCGTTTGTGTGTTGTGTTGAGTCGTGCTGTTGCTAATATTGGAGATGAGGATGTGCCTGTGTATGTGTGCCTGAGACGGGAAAGATTGTTTCATGTGGTGGTCTTTATTCGTGTTGTTGTTTCGGGGTTGGGTTGGTTCCTTGGTTGAGGATATAAGGTATGACAACCAATGGGTGGTAGTAGGTATCTACTAGGTAAGTGATCATGGATGGGATTTGCTTCTGGCCTACTGAGTACTACAGGTGTGGTAGATACTTTTCCCGGTTATCCAAGGAGAAAGGAGATGAGGATGGGAATGGGATACACACTACGTAGGTATGGAGGGTGGGAAAACGCCTCTGACGGAATCGAGACTGCTGAGGGGAATGAAGAAGATGGAGAGCATTCCCGTTCAGCAACCAATCATGCCATTTTGGTGCGACTCGGTAATTGAAGGTGGTACAGCAACGCTCCACACAAGCAGAAATGCGAAGAGGGTCTAGACTGGCTACATCATCGTCATACACTGACGGGAAATGGAGAAATTGTGAAACGAGAAGTCGCTCTTTGTCACCGCCAAGGCAAAATCGAATCGTTGACATGACGGCTCGGCTAATTGTCGATCCCGCGCCGGATGATCTCCAGCATTTCCTCGCCCTTTGGCGCCGTCGTCAGATTCTCATACCCTGTCCGAGTGACCAGGATGTCGTCTTCTATCCGCACGCCACCAATGGGAATGTATTTCTCGGCCTCCTCGAAGTTGATGTACTGCGCCTGAGGCAGTTTCCGGGTATTTGCCAGAGCCAGCTTGGAGAAGTAAACGCCTGGCTCGATGGTGACCACCATGCCCTCCTCGAGCAAGGGGACTGACTGGCTCATGGCTGGGATGAAGTCAGGTCTGCAAGGTCTGTTAGGCAGCCCCATGCCCGTGATTGGCTTCTCGGATACGTCGTGGACTTCCAGTCCAACGTGATGGCCCAATCCGTGAGGAAAGAAAATGGCCGACGCCCCCGACACGCGAATCTCCTCCACGGTGCCCGGTTTGAGGACACCTAACTTCTGCAAGCCCTTAATGGCTATGTCGTGGGCAAGCACCTGCAAGTCGCGGAACCGCACACCTGGCTTAATGCGCTTGATACACTGCTCCTGCATCTCTTCTACGATTTGGTAGACGTCGCGGGCATATGAACTGGGCCAATCGGCGGCCAAAGGAAAGGTGCGGGTCACGTCACTTGCGTAGCACTCCCACTCTGCACCTGCGTCCAGACAGACCAGCTGTCGTCCTTTGAGGGGCTCGTTGTTCTTCACATAGTGGAGGGTGGCTGCGTTGGGTCCTGAACCAGCAATGATTTCGTATGCTTGGTTCTTCGCTCCGTGCGACACGCAGGTGTCGAGGAAGAGGCCTTCGATCTGGGCTTCATTGGACATCTTGTGGATTTTCTCGAGCACTTTGCGATGGGCTAACCCGGATATCTTGTTGGCGTGGCGTATCATACGAAGCTCATAATCATCTTTAACCACCCGCGCCGCATCCATTGCGGGCAGCAAGCGCTGATCATCTAGGTTCAGTTGCCGGAAAATGAATTGGGGCTGCTGAGAGCTATGAAGGATGTAGACTGGAGCGGCATGGTTGTATTTCTCTACCCACGACTGAATATCGCTCTGTAGGGAAGCATAGTAGCGCACTTTGTCTACGTCAAACCGCCGTTCAGCCTCGTCTGTGGTCAACGTGGGCCCCATCCATATTGCGCGGTGCAGGTCAAAGTCCGGAACATAGAGAACCAGTAAGTCATTGTTGATGTCGTAGGTAAGAAAGCAGTCTGGCTCATCGGCTCCACTAAGATAGTAGAAGTACCGTCGCTGTCGAAAGGGTTGTGGTTGGTCGGAATCGCCCCAATTGATGGTTGGTTTCCCAACCAGGTAGATAAGGCCGCTGGACACTCCCAGCTTCATTGCAACTTTGCGCGCATGTTGTTTGGCTGCGCCGAGACTCCCTGTCAGTCTTCGGACGTCCCAGGATTAACGCAGGAGGAGAATGATAAGGCGAGGGAGGAGAAGAGTATATATCTTGGGGTCACAACATGAGACATACCTGGATACTTATCGATCCCTTCGCCGCGCACCGTTACGCTGATATCGCAGGCACCAAGGCTCGAGACAAGCTCCGGCGGGATTGAAACACGCATCCTGTTGCTTACCACGGTCTACAGGCAGAAAGGGGGAAGGGAGGACCTATACAGACAGGCCTGTCACAGAGGTGAGGGACCCGAATGAAGGCACAGGAAGGGAGATAGAGGGACTGGAGGAGATAAGACAGCGCTTAGAAAGCGAGAGGAGGGAGAGAGAGAGGGGGAGAGGAATGACAGCCAGCGATAGCGTGTCTCTCTATCGGATTTAGACAGGGTCTCCGGCGGAGTCCATCGGTCATGTATTATTACTGCCGTGGAACAGCTAAGATACCAGAAATAGGGTGTGACTGATGGCCTGGCCAGACTGTCCATACAGTATCTTACAGACAAGAGATACGTTCTTTAATGTGAGATGATTGAAGAGTGACGGATGATTAAGTACCCTGGATCAGGCATCCAAAGGGACTCTTGGAGTGTGCCTCATCCCTTTTCCCTGGACTGCTTGGGACCTTGCATGGACAGTTATTTGGAGGGGACAACTTAGTTGGCCAGCAGACATATGTAGGAGTGTATTTGATCTCAAACGTGGCCCATCTAATTTCTGTATCTCCTTCAGGAGTTCACAATATGCCTTGAGTGCTGTCATCCGGAAGCATCGAGCGCATCGCCCGGAAGCGTCGCTGCCTTTTCGCCCCCCACATGCGCCTCTCTCTCTCTCTCAGTCTCTCTCTCGACCTGGGCTTCTGCTTCTGGTTTCTTGGTCCCGACCTCCAACTCTCCCCGTTTGAAACTCCCTCATCATCGCTCCTCATCTCTTTCCCACTCCTCTGCGACTTTCCCATCTCTCATTCCTTCCCTTCCCCTACGCCTTTCATCTACCCGCTATTTCCCTAGCGTCGCTTTCCCTCCTTATCTCATAACATTCAGCTTAGCGTTACCATCTCTCCGCCAGCGAGTCCGTGTCGACGCAACATCTCCAACCAGTCAATGAACGATGCGGGGATCTGAGGCATCGGGGCCCGGTGCTCTCTTTGATGCTCCCTCGACTCTTGCCACGTCCCTTGGAATCAATCCCACCGCTGCTCCTGAACCCCCTCCGACCGATCCCAAGTTAGTCGCCTCCAACATCGAGCAAGTCTTGTTGTCCATGTCAGAAGGCAATGGCGGTCTAGTTAGCGTCAGTGGCAACTCGTCGGGTTCTACCGGCAAGGGTATCCTGATAGGCGTCCTCTCTGCCTTTGGGTCCGCTGCCGTTGCAGTGCTTGTACTCGCCGTCTTCTTTTTCTTCAAATACACTCAGCGTGGTAGAATCATTCTCGATCGCATCGGCCGACCGGGTGAATTCGACGATGAACAAGCGTTTGCGCGCGAGGAGGCGGAAGCCTTGGAGACGATGGATGATCTCACGCGATCGGAGTATATGAGAGCGAAGGGTAAGTCACCGGTTCTTGGTCCATTCTCTTGGGCGAGCGACGACCATGGGGTCCAGTCAAGCATGACGTATGTGCATTTGTCGCTAATACAACTACAGCCTTCATCGAAGCCAATCCGCCCGAGTCTGTACAAACCGACATATCGCTCTCTCAATTCCTCGCGATACAAGAAAAAGGAGTATCGGCTTGGGAATTCCAACCAGAGCTGGAAATCGCCAATTGCTTTGTTGAAGGCCGTACGGAAATCGAGTTCTACGACTCGGAATGCAGCGTCCAGACCAATTTGCCTGTTCCGAAACAAAATGACGTCTATTACTGGGAGGCTAAGATCTACGACAAACCTGATAATACTCTTATCAGTATTGGGATGACTACGAAACCGTACCCCTTGTTCAAATTACCAGGTGCGTCTTTGGGTGTCTCGTTGGGGGGAGATACTGGTCATCCGACGGTCGCTAATTTGTTGCTTATGATGTCAGGCTTCCACAAGACTTCGGTCGCATACCAGTCCACGGGCCATAGGAGGCACAACCAGCCGTTTGCACCAACGCCATATGGTCCTCACCTTCTGCAAGGTGATGTGATCGGCGTAGGGTATCGACCTCGCTCGGGTACGATCTTCTTCACTCGCAATGGCAAGAAGCTGGAGGACGTCGTTCACGGTCATAAAGCGCAAAACTTCTTCCCCACTGTTGGAGCCAATGGGCCTTGCTCTGTCCATGTGAACTTCGGTCAGATGGGTTTCGTGTTCATCGAGGCCAACGTCAAGAAATGGGGACTGGCCCCTATGACTGGTAGCCTGGCTCCGCCTCCGCCTTACGGCAGCGAGCAAGGCAGTATCCTACTAGAGTCGGGTCGGGAGAGTGCAGCTCAGATTTCCCAACGGGTTTACCAGGATGCCAATAATGCACGCACCAGTTCGACTGTCCGTGTTGCGCCATCTGCCAGTCCCGGCCCTGTGCGGTCACCCACCGACATTTCTTTGGCTCAGCTTGCCCACATCCCGTCGAACGAGGACGTTGGCGAAGGATCCAGTCGAACCAACGTCGTCGATGGTGAGCAAGTTCCCTTGTTGCATACAGACGATCTCGACCAAGTCCCACCTCCCGAGTATTCCAGTCCGGACGGCAGTCGGAGAGGCAGCGAAGACCTGCACTCTGACGAACAGCCTCCGATACCTAGCTACGACGCTGCTGTTGGCAACCGCGACGGTCACGGCACGCATCCCAACGAGACTCCTTGAAAGGCGACCGAGGTCCCGCATATATTGTTATCGTTTATCCATCAGTCATTGGCGCAGCGTCTCTTTGATGTGTATACGGCATGTTTCAGCCACTGGTTTTATTTCTACTACTGTACCCTGATTTTAGCGGCCACGGTCGGCGTTCCACGGGCGGGATTCTACGGGTTAGGTTTCACGGTTACGCCGCTAGACGTGGCAATGATGAATTTTACGTATATAGGGTCTGGTCGTTTCTGTCTTCATTTGTCATTTGGAACAATTGTCCCGGTTGAGGTCGTGGGCACCTTGCAGGGCCGAATCCCGTAAAGCTCACGTTCCCTTCGAGTTGAGGCGGTTGGCCAAGGGTCTTCTCGGCCTTGACGGACCGACCGGACGAGAGAACAATGCTGTTCCAATGATTACCTTGTTTCCTTGCGCAATTCGTGTCAAAAATCGGTGCTATTGAACTGGGTGGATTTATTGCGGTGTTTGTCTAGGAGTACCATTTTTCATGGCTGAACACATACAGTGGCTATTTATATCATTCCTTGTCTGCGCTTCCCTGTATCTTCTTGTGTATGTGTAGCAATCGAGTGGTCATCTGCCTCTTACGCCGCTGTATAACCAGCGGCAATCCACTATTTTGCATCAAGAATAATTGGCAATCAGGTAGTAGCACGGCGTATAATAATCAAATTAGTAGCCAGAAGATCGTAGTTTGTAGAACCGGTCCATCCATTGCTCCATTCCCCCACATGTTCGACCCAATAAATGTGATCATTATTAACGCTATCAATCTAAGTACTATGTACTAACTGTATCTATAATTATCCAGTGATATTCAGCGCTGGGATTATTTCCGGGAACAAGGCTCTTTCTCAGTCCCTCTGTTGCTCCTTCCGCAACCAGCGCGTCATCGATCAGTGCCAGTCAGTGACTACTCTCTGCTCAACCTCCCTCCCCCAATCTTTCTCTTCCATCATCATATTCCATCCTTTTTCATCCTCCACATTGCATTTCTCCGTTCGCACGCAAGATATGCATCTCCAAATACCCACTAGACGACGTCCACCGGCACTGCATCGCACGATTCTCTTCGTCCTTGATCTTCCATAGACTGATTCGACTGACTTTGCTGGTTATCTTCTCTCAACGCATATGATAGAGTTTCTGTTCCTCCCTTGTCCCTTGGCTGGTCCTCGTACTGCAATGGCTCACCTTCCCTGCTGCTTTTCTCGGTCGGACATTGCCTCCCATTAACTTTATCTTCTCCAAGTTGAATCACTCAGCAGTTTTGAAGCAACAACAGTCACCAATATATTGACTTCACACGAGTCATTCGTATGACAGTTACTTCTCTCACTTTAAACAATACCTCTTATCACTCATTGGCTCCTAAACAAGCTCGCTCAATTTTGCTTTTGCCGCCAACGGTGATTTCCGACTTCCCCCTCCAGCCACTGAATCATCTGTTCAGCCCCGGCCGTTAGCGTGCTGCAGGTGCCCAGTGGCGAGCAAGTGACCGCCAACAACTGGTGCGCTAACTGGCCTGGTGCGACGCAGTTTTGCCCCAGATTCACGGGGAAGTGCCGCCCCCAACAGTGGACGCGCTGGGGGTTTGGAACCTTTTGTCGCATAGGCCTGGCTGCCAGCCTGACCGCTATCTAGGTTGAAAAGCATCACGCAGCTCTCCAAGAAGAACGGGGAAAGTTTCTTCACCTCATCCTCACCACACCTCTCGACTTGACGTACACTAAATCGAGGAAGTTACAGCCGCCCACAGCCACATCTGCACAATCAAGCGAGGGTGGTGTGCATTCAATATCTGCGCTCAGCCGCCCTAGGTGGAGTATATGCATTTTGGCCCTTGCTTATTCTCCGACCAGATACGCAGTGCAACAACGGCGATAGTTTCTAGTTTGTGGGAACTGCTTTATAGCTTCATTCCGATAAAAAGCGTAAGGATCGCCTGGCCCAGATCCTTGGGGTATCCACACAAGGTCCGGCCGCTACCCCAAGTGGTTCTCTGAAAAAGGGCTAGAGTTCGTCCGGAAGGGCTATTTTACTGGGAGTCCAACACATCCCATCGATTGCTGGTTCAATTGATGCCCTGGCGACTTTTGCCTTGAGCCATCTTCACACTCAAAATGCAAGAGTCTGAATTGCCTTTTGTAGGCGCAAACCCTTCAGAAGCAGCTGGCCAAGGAGATGGACCCGGTCCTCCAAGTCTGCAGATAATCGTGCTGGTAAGTTTTGTCTCACATGCTGTGTTTGTCAGTCCCGTGTGGCCATGACGTTGTTCTTTACACACATGATTGCGAACCCTGAAAGTCTGCCTACTGGCGAGTCCGATCACTAGCATCGATGCGCCATTTCTCACACTTCTCCCCGCGCCATGTTCTCGAACTCTCACTACACCTCAACCCATTTCATCGCTGGCGAGTTTCGCATTCAAGGTCGACCACTAACGCTTCCCTTGAAAGGGTCCGACAGGAGGTCCCCGTGAGGATAGAGTCACTGGACTTCTGGTCCGATCCACATCCACCAAATGGTCCGCAAACTCGATCGTAGCTGTTGATGCGGGCACCCTTCTATGTGGCATCATCGACACTTTGGAACCATGTGATAATAACCAAAAGTCGTCGGATCAGGGGCCATTTGCTGGGCTCGAACTGCCACATAACAATGTACCAGCAAATGCAGCCCATGTTTTCCGGCATATTATCGGCGCTGTCTGCATCACACATCCTCATCTAGACCACCTGTCAGCGTTTGCCATCAACACTCCAGTTCTGGAGGCTGGAAGTGGCGCGAAAACGTTGGCCGCCCTGCCTTCGGTGGTTGCTGCTATTAAGACTCACGTGTTTAACGATGTGATTTGGCCAAACCTCTCTGATGAGGATGGCGGTGCTGGCCTTGTTACCTACCAACGACTAATGGAGGGCGGAAACCCCATGATGGGGCGTGGTGATGAAAAAGGCTATACGCGAGTCTGCGAGGGCTTGTTGGCAAAATGCCTGGCTATCAGTCACGGGTGTTGCAGGCAGAGATCTAGCGTCGACAATGACATTCAACGCCGGATGAGCAGCGCCCCTTTTGGTGTTGACCCAATGAGGTTGAACCCAAGGGCCTATTCGATGTCATTCGACGAGCCAGAGACCGGCTACTTTTCCGGAGCACGTTCGCCAGGCTATCGCGTACCCGGCAAGGATGGCTGGGCCACCGTGGAGTCGTCAGCTTTCTTCATCCGTGAGCCTACGACAAAGCGAGAAGTGATCATCTTCGGCGACGTTGAACCTGACTCGATCTCAATGAATCCGCGCAATAGACGCGTGTGGGAAGCAGCAGCACCGAAGATCGTTGCCTCTCAACTGCGAGCGATCTTCATTGAATGCTCCTATAACGATGATGTTGACGACGCCTCCTTATACGGCCATTTGTGCCCCCGTCACTTGATCGATGAATTGATTGTATTGGCACAGAAGGTTACAGAATTGAAATACCCAGATTCGTTTTCGATAAGAAAACGCAAACGTGCGAGTGCCCCCGAGGCAGCCGGCGATCCAGCTCTCAGTCCCAAGTCAAAGAAGGCTGCTCTCGCTGGCGAGAAAAGTGGAGGAGGCTCTCGTCGGGGATCGGCCAGGACGTCACGTCGCCATACGCGTGCCAGAGTTGCTGTAGAAGACATTGACGAAAACATGGAAGGAAGCCCAGCCGTTTCCCACGCTCCGAGTGAAGTTGGTATGGATGTGTCGCTGGCAGAAAGTTCAGACCCTCTCACGGTGCTCCAGTGGCCAGAACCACCTCTGACCGGACTACTAGTCTATATCATACATATCAAGGACGATATGAATGATGGCCCACCTCCTCAGGAGCGGATCCTGCAAGAACTTAAAGCCCAGGGACAAGCTGCTGGACTAGGATGCGAGTTTCGAGTTCCCACACGTGGCGAGAGCGTCTTAATCTGATGTCGGTTACCGCAAGTCCATCATGGCTTGTCTGCCTTGCACCGAACATGTCCGGTGCTCCTTACTTCTTGTGACACGGAACCATGCAATAGAGGGGAACATATCAACGGGCTATATCTATACATGACTGTGGACCATGTCATATGAATCCAGTTCTCATCTGGGGGCCTTGTCTGCAATGATGATCCTTAGTGCATCTTTCCCTTACTTTTCCATTCCTATATGTTCTATCCTACTTCTCTTGTTCTATCTTTTGGCGCGGCTTTTGTGAGCAGATTTATCTCTCGTTTACCCTTTTGCTATTGCATCATGTGATTTAGCAGATACCACCGGTGCAATCGAACATATTGTCATTAGAATCAGAATTATTAACCCCTGGTCACTATGGCATGGTTATTTAGAGTGACCACAAGACAGTCATAAGCACCGTAACAAAGTACCAGTAAATAATCCCGGAAACAATCACCAACTCATATCCTAAGAGCTCATCTCCTCTCCAGCCTTAGCAATAACATCTTCCCAAGCGGCCCCCTCCCCCCTGGGAACCGTCAACCCCGAGTTCTCACCCTCACCAGCAGCAGCAGCAACCCCACCCAAAACACCCTCCCCATCCCTCGCAAACTCAATCAACTCCTCCTCACTCCCCCACTCCCCCATAGCCATGACACCCACGGGCACCCTCCTTCCACCATCCACCACATCATACCCAGCCGGACAACTAATCGCCGGACAGCCCGAGAAATTCGCCAACCAGACATACTCCATATTCCTAACCGTAGAATTCCCATCCGACACGCCGCGCTTCAGATCCGCCTCGCCGCCCGCGATCTTCCACCCCGGGATCGGCGTCGTCGGCGTGACGATCATCAAGCCAGGGTGTTTCTGGAACAAGTGAGCCAGATGTGTCATGAGGCAGTTACGGAGACGTTGCGCCGCTAGGAAATCCTGGCCTTTGATTTGCCACATGCCCATTGAAGCCATTACCTTGTTGGCGGGCGTGAGGTGCGAGATCTGGGATGGGGTGAGGGATGAGGTTACTTCCGAGAGAATGGTGAGAGCGTGCGCTTTTTGGCCTTCGGGGAGGTACGGGATTGTGATGTCGATTATCGTGTAGTTCTTCAGCTTGCGGTAGTGGTCGAGGGTCGCGTTGAAGATGGCGAGGACTTCCGGGGAGGCGCGGTCGATCCAGGGACGGACGATGCCGATGGTTTTCTGGGGGTTGTTGTTGCTGTTGTTGTTCGGGGTGGAGGGGAGGGTGTGGAGTGGTGAGGGGAAGGATGCTGAGATGGGGTCTGAGGATTCAGGGGCTGGCGTGGCCATGAGTCGGTAGGCGAGGGCTAGGTCGTCGATGTTGGAGGCTAGGGGCCCGTAGACGCCTGTGGTGGATGCCAGTGAGATGGTTGGAGAGCCGCTCACGCGGCCGTGGGTGGTCTTCAGTCCCCAGATGCCGCAGAAGGAGGCCGGGATGCGGATTGAGCCTCCGCCGTCGGCGCCTAGAGCGATGGGGACTAGGCCTGCGCTGACGGCGTAGCCGGAGCCACCGGAGGAGCCGCCGCAGTAGTAGTCGGGGTTATGGGGGTTTCTGGGGGTGCCGAAGTTGGGGTTGTTGTTGGTGGTGTCTGGGGTGTGAAGATGGTGGTTAGTTGGATTAGGAAGCTCAGATGAGGTATGTTGGGAACTGCACTACTCACCAAGACCCAACTCGTGCATGGTGGTCTTGCCAATGACGATGGCACCGGCGTCCTCCCATTGCTTCACACACCAGGAGGTGCCCGTGAACTCGCCGGTGAAGTCGAGCTTGCTGCCCAGGGTTCGTCGGTATCCTTCCATATGTACTTCGTCCTTGATTGCGACGGGGATGCCATCCATTGGGCCCAGTGGCTTGCCATCTTTGTACCGCTGTGTAGAGGCTTCTGCTGCGGCGCGAATCTTGTCGACTTGCGAGTCTAGAAAGGCGATCGAGTGCTTGCCGGATGGTTTGGCATCGCGGCGGATCAGGGGCAGTAGGGTCTCGACGACGGCAAGGGGAGTCAGTTCGCCCGAAGTGTAGCGAGCGATATAGTCGGCAGAAGTGTAGTAGCCTGCATTGCTTTGTCGCTTTGGCGTGGGAACTGGCAGGTCGGCAGCGGGAGCATTGGGGTTAGCGACGGGAATCACGGTCGGATCATACCGGGCGGAGTATTGGTCGAGGGGGAGGTTGCGGATGACATCGAAGCCAGTGGTCCCCCAGAGATAGCTCTGGATGAAGCCAATGTTCTGGATACTAGAGAGGGGAGATGTTTAAGCAGTTGTGGCTGAGAGGGAAGATGATGAGAAAGGAAGACATACAGACTGGCGCCGATGGCCAAGGGAAGGCCGCGGATGACGGGGATCACCTGCTCCTCATTCCTGTACGGCACGGTGGGGCCCGGCCGGGCCTCTGGATAGTGGATGAATGGAGCTTTCTCACCCATGATGCGATCAGGAAGTGTCGGTGAGAGTGGAGGAAAAAGAAAGAAAGAACTTACGGGGAGAACTTCCTTTCTTTTTCCTCCAGCTTGATCGCCAAGCCAACCGGCCAGCCGTCACTAAGCTAAGCTCAGCTCCCGAACCCAAACAGCTGCTTATCTACTGGACCCTGGATTTCGGTCCGCATCTCGACCAGAAGTAGTTGGTGGCCACGGTCTATATACACAGTATTCTTCATTATAATCTGATTATTTCCCCCCCTCCTTCTGGAGAGAGGTGTTATGTCTTTGCCCATCTTGTATTTCAAATTGCCAACTTGATGTTGGCCCGATCCAATCCTAGTGCTACGCCTGTGAGCGCCGCGGCGTATGCGATGAGGATTGCCATCGCCTGGGCCGTACTGACATCCAGTGTCGGGACGCTCAGGTTGACAGCCCCGGTGAGCAAGTTGGCAACCAGGAAGATAGCCAGTCCGCCGCGATTGAATGCCTTCAAAATCCGGCTTGTCGCAAAAGACACCCGATCGGCCTCACCGTCCTTCCCGGATGCCCGATGTACCGATGGGAAGAAAATTGTCTCCAGGAGACAGAAAAGAAACAGTTGAGCATTGTTAAAGGCAGATACCCAAACGACATACGGCATGTTAGCAAGTCGGCGCGAGACCGGAATGTTGGCGCCGTGGCCTAGTGCATAGGTAGAATTCAGAACGAAGATCGCAGACCAGGCGAGCGCTTGGACGCCCAGGGTCACCAGCACGCCTCTTCTCGCCTGCTGGGGAGACCGTTGGGTAGTGGTGCCGCGAGGAATGATCCGAATGCCAGTGGCACGGCCTGCCAGGAAAATCGCAAAGTATCCCAGGAACGAAAACACTCCTTCCCGGTTTTTGGAGAGCAAACTTGGACCGCGAGGGGAAACAAGGATATAGCTCTTCAGTTCGGTCGATTCTAAAGCGACTTGATACAACACAGCAACTGCCAGCGAAAGGGCTTCATAGGAGGGAACAATGTCAGCCAGGCTGTCAAAGAGTTCCACGAAGGGTGGCAAAAGACCCAGGGTGAAAAAGAAGTTCCAATGCACGCCATACTCCGTCACATGCTCCGCATAGTCCAGCCCCTTCACGCTGTACAGCCTGACCAAACCCAGGATAAGTAGAGGGACCGAGTGCCGCGTGGAAGCTATCAGCCGCTGGCATACCGGAGTCTTCCGAGCGCCATTGCTTCGGCCCTTAAGCACAGAGCGAGCAGATACTACCCCGCCTGAGAAGACGAAAGATCCCACACCCAGATCCATGAGTGACGTGCCCCAATTTTCCACCTTTGCAAATCGCCGTGGAAACGCCTGGAAGTCCACCGCCAAGATGGCTACACAGGTAATGATCATCATGGCTGCACGATATGTTGTCAGAAATGGGTGAATTGGTAAGGATTCGGGCATGTCCGCTGCATTCTTATCGCTTTGGGTCGGTTTCGGGGGAGGTTTAGCCTTTTGCTGGCTGCGGGGAGGTCTTGAGTTGAGAAACAGCAGGAGGGCGGGGGCGATCAGCAGGACGTTCAGCGTCCATGGCGCAGAGGAGTAGACAGTCGTGGCAAACAGAATGGCCAGTACATTGAGCAGAAAGTCGGTCACCAGTGCTGCTGAGCTGTAAGGAGTGAAGAAGGAAAGGCGTGATTGTAGCGCTGACCATAAGAGAGCAGCGGCCTAGACCAATCCCGTAAAGAGTCAGCTACCACTGCCTGGAGGGTGTGACGTATCCCAGGCCATCACTTCTGGATGGGTGGGATCGAACAACTGTCAAGGGGAAGAGAAACGTACAGGTGCGACTAATGTAACAGCATTGATCTCAAGAATGCTGCCACCAGCAAGATCAGACACGAAGGCCTCTTTGCGAGCCTTGTAGCTGGGATCCATAGCTGCTACTGCTACTTGTTCGGACCAGAAGTCCAAAAAGGCCAAAAGACCGATAGAGGAGGGGTAGAAGGAAAAGGAAAACAATCAAATGTGTGCAAAGCTGCAGATAGATTGGAGTTAATCTTGCATTAGAAGCCCTACCCACCGACAGTGAGACGTGGCCGGCGCAAGGTAGGGAGCAGCAAGTCAAGGCAGAATGCAAGCAAGCAAGTAAAGTGAGAAATGCGATGACGCGCAAACACAACAATCTGGCCGCTTTTAGTCTGGAGGACCTCAGGCCAGCAACTTCCCTCATTGGGGTTAGGCCGTACGGGAGGCACTTGTGTGCCTGGAAAGAGGAATACCGAGTATGGTAATCTGGTTACAGATCCATACAGATCCGTACATCCTCCCCGCCTTTCTGATTCAAACCGTCCAAAAACCGATTCTCATTTTCCCGCTTGCTTGTCGTGCTTGAGTCTGTCTGCCTCGTCGACTTCTCACCTTTTTCCATGGTCTTCTTTCCCTCCCTCTCAGCAAATCATCCTCTGCCATCTTTCCTGCCTGGGAATTATATTTCCGACTTGTCAATCAATCACCGTGTCTCTGCTTCAGACAAAGTGGTGACTAACCATATATCACTGTTCTCCATCTCATTGTCCATCCCAATTACGTTGCTTAGAGTGCCATACAGAATGAGCTCATATGGCTGAGTGCTCAAGAGTCTGAAACACGGAGACAGGAAAAGAAAAGAAGCAATCTGCTGCTTAATCTGCAATCGCAGGGTCTGTTGTGATGGATCCCATGCTGGGGATGCAAGAAGACGAAAACAAAGGGCAGAAAAATTAAAGATCAGCCAAGAACTGTATCGAATTATCGCGCTTATGTGCACCTGCCAGGCTGCCATTGCTGGAGCCTCCACAATATTTCCGATCTACATTCTCTGGGGGCCCAACCAGCTGCTAGCAAGGGGGCGTACCGGGTTTCACCCACGGAGCTTGCTAAGCATGATGGGGGGCACTAACTAACAACTACCATGCCACTAGATGCTTATACTATACTCCTACTGGAGCAGGGATGAGAAGGTGAGCCCCGGGGGGGACGGAGGTTCTCCGTGTCCCCCTGGTAGGACAATCACGCAGGAAACTGCTTTAGGCTATATGCGTCGTTGTTTCGAGCTAAGGACCGGTTGGGTCAGCCAAGGTTTAGCTCACAAGATATGCTGTGCCGCTTACTACATTATACTGAGTTTATGGTGCTTGCGTTGACATGAACGACGAATGGACGATTAATAAAAAATCATGGAATGCACCCACCACAGACCAATCAGTCGGAGGGAAATGAATGATCACCAGCGAGTTTCAGTAAAGTACACGGCCGTCTCCCGTGCGGATGCAGCTTGGGACAATGATATGCAGCTATCAGGCCCACCGACCGGCTTTAGCACGGCTTTACCTTAGGAGATTATCTTTTTAGGGCCATTCGGCCGACGACCGGTATGTTGGTCTTCCGTGTCCAGGGTACATTGACACTACGAACCAGCTCCAGAACATGGTCTATTCTATCCTGTCTTGTGCCTTGGGCTGATTCTTGCTGGGACATTTTATTGCTGTCAATCATATATGAACCTGAGGTCTCTCATCCCTGCAAAGCCAAGTTTCAAGGGAATGAGGCTGAGCAACAGAAAAAGCAAAAAAGGGAAGAGCAGCAAAAGCGAGGGAGGGGAAAAATCAGAAGTGGGATCCAGACTCCATTTGAACCTTTAGGATTAAAACCGACTAACCTGAGAAGGCAGGCACAATGTGCGTCATGCATTCACGTTCAGCCAGCCATTTCTCTCAAGGCCTTTTCATGGTGGTGCTCCCTTTTCCTTCCCTCCCGTCGGATTTTGCCGTTTAGACTCGGGCACATTGCCCACTCCATCCCTCCCGTGGTGATAATTCTGAAGAGGGTATTTGGGAGCCGTCGGTTTCGATGTTCTACGGGGCTTCTTTCGCCGGGCGTCTCCCGACACGAGTCCTATCCGGCAGTCGATTGGTTCTGATTACTCAGAAGGGCTTTTCTGGACCAACCTTCCGCTTGGCGCAGCAAATCGTAGTTGGTTTTGATGGAGGACCTGAGTGTGGACCCGATCTACTCCTCCTCGTGGCGAGCACAACCCCAGTGTTACCATGGTTCCGTCTGAACCCAAAGGGGCTGTTTGCCTAGTATTTACTCCCTTCCCAAGGCTCCGCCCTTAAGGAGTCCGATAGGAACATCCATTTCACAAACCTATTCGGGTAAATCCAGGAGGTGTCTGCAATCGCTGGTACGAACAGGCGGCAAGACGTCATTTGCTCAACCATGGGTGAGCCCTTCCAACAGAGACACTCATGGGGTCAGGAGTGACTGTCTTGTCCACATCTGATAGCCTGGCAGATCCTGAAATCTGAGATTCGGGATCCTGGAACCGCTGGGGATCGTGCATACCAATGCAAAACCCGCAGATCGCTGGGAAAATGGTGGTCAGCCACCGTCGTACTTTGTCGGTAGTCTGAACAGCCAAAACCCACACCTATGGTCAGCTCCGCTTGGTCTCTGGACGTTCTAACCCTTATGGACAAAGTTGGTCGCTCTCGGTATTCCCCCGTCCCGCCTGCACTGCAGCGGCCCTCCAACTGCCAGTTTCTGACTGTCGGTCAGTCGGTTTACCCTCAACTTGATCTCTGTTTTGGGCTTAAGCCCCGGCATGGTGCCAAGGATTACTCTCTCCTGAGGTTGAACGAACGCCATGAAGCTTCTGTATGTGCCCCAGGGCGGCGTCGGTCGCCCATGGTTTTCATCTTCGTTTAATTTTGTACTTTTTTTTTCCTCTCCATTTCCATTTCCACATTCTCTTTTTGGGGTTTGCTTTTTTTTTAATCTTTTTTTTTCTGTTCGTTCGCTTAATGAAATACTGAACCCGCTACTGAATCGGGTCTGCCATGTGGCCCGGAAGGACTAAGATCCACCGGATGGTCAATACTACTACTAAATGCCGTACAATAGATGCTACTCCAGATGCAGATTTCGTGCTGGACATGCTCTAGGACAGGAGATGGACAGCAACAACGTGCCAATTTGTCTCTGCTCTTTCGGGGCAACCGGCATAACGGCGTCGGTACTTGACTGGTGTACGCTGCCGCCACGCAACCAGGCCAACCCGTCTAGGGTGCTGAGGGGACCCCCCCCAAGTTGCGAATTAGAGCGTGCTTGTAGGTCGGGAGGGTCGGAAGGTGCTCATAGCGCTGCGCCGCTGACCCATCGTAAGAGCTACCTGAAGAAAAGCACTGCACCAAAGCCGTGTGTGCTTCCCCCCTCCCCCTCCCCCTTCCTTCATGGGATTGGGCTACTCGAGGGATCTGCTCATTGGCGCGTCTTCGGGCCCCAAGCCAACGGTTGGTAACGAAAGTGTACGGTTTATTACTTACTTTACTGGTTTTACTGCTGATAACTAAGGAAGTTGGGGAGCTGGAGACTCCAAGCTGTCTGAGGCAGAGACAGGGACGATCTGGAGACCAAGCCAGGACTAGATCCTCCCAGGCCATACGTGCCTAATAATTGCCTGCACCAGTCAGAGTCTGTCTGAGCTGGAATGGGTCCTAGCAGCCATGCCCAAAAAGGGCAGTTCCCTGATTCTTTTTCGTTCAAACGCTCAACAAAGATTATTCCACCACCAACCCCTACTAAGTAAGTAACTACTGTCTACCTACGTATCTACCCGCCCACCTTGTTCCTATCAGACGGCCTCTGTCCGTCCCCTTGGGTATATATATACCTAGTTTAGCGCGACCCACGCACTTGGAACCGCTATAGTCGCATCTTGAGAGGCGGGCTCAAGTACCTCTGGCGGTCCACACACCTGTCTGGGATGCATCACCTTGCCTATACGAATCACACCTATCACCTGCAATAAACCCTCTTCTGCTCTCCTTCTCACATCATCACCCACCTGAATACGATTTGATGAGCAGGATGAGCCCTACTCCAGAACCTCCCACGGCCAAAAAGCGCGAGTCCCGTGCTGGGGCGCGTAAAGTGACGTCGCTCTCTGCCGAACAGCTGGAGAGGAAGCGCGCCAACGATCGGGAAGCCCAAAGAACCATTCGTCAGCGGACCAAGGAGCACATTGAACGGCTGGAGCACCAAGTGGCCGAGTTGAAAGCCAAGGGGGAACAATTTGACGATGTCGTCCGACGGAATGTGGCGTTGGAACATGAAATTCGAGCTTTGAAGCATCAGCTCGCTCTGGCTGGTAGGCAAGGATATCCGGGTATGGGTAGGTGGCCGGTCTCGTTCATTTATTTCAGCTACAGAAAGAACTTGAATTGGCTGACAGATATCCATTGCGCATCAACAGAAGGAACTTATAGCAATGCTCCCGGGTCTATGCTCCCGGCCACGCAGTTTGCAGAGCCTCTGGGGATGAATCCAGCTTCTAGAGCCCCCTCAGTCATCTCCACGTCCAGTCGCGTCTCGGTAGGGTCGGAATGGCCACCTTATGGCACAAACCGGTCACCTTCAACATGCGAATCGAGCGAGGCGAATTATGGGAACCGGGCTGAACCGTACCTGTTCGAAAATCAACTTCAGCCGGCGAGCGCCATGTCTGTCGCGCCACCGCAGGTTAGCTACAGCGCGCCTGTCGGTGCTCAACCAGACCCGACATTTCAATCGTATGCACAGGCATATCACACCGGGAACGCCACTCGTGGACCAGTAGATGACCTAGCACCCCATCCTCCACAACCAGTTCATTACGTGCCTGGACAGCGGCCGATGTCAGTACCGACAATACCCACAGAAAGACCGGCAGGATATTCTCTCGTGCATACGCCACAGCCATATCACCAACATACGCTTCCACCTCAGACACGGAATGACTACAGCTATGCCTGGAACCCGCATCAGTCGTGAGACGCTGGACGAGCAAGTGGGTCTCTCACGAAAGGAAAGAGGTTCTTGCAAGAGGCCAAGGCAATCGCGGTCGTTGCCTGGAGGCTCAGCAAGCTATCAGATGATGGTTACGATCAATACTCTCCGACTCAACGCACGGGGAGGACCTGGTATCTGGGACGCGAAACACTGCTGCGTGCAACTACGCAAAACGACACAAACACACACTTTCGGGCTGGTCATATTACACAGGGCTATCTCCAAATTGTCTGCATAAACTTGTGATGAAGGCGCTTCATTGGATCCGGAAATTGGCTTGCCTCTTGCCTGGCGTCCACCAAAGAAAAAAAATTCCCAGGGGTCCGGTTATCTCGGTGACACTGGCGGTCACCACACCGTATCGTGGAACAGGGCAGATCTGACCCGTTCAGTCCCAGCTCCAGCTCTCCCGACGACCCGCCCCAGCAGAAACAAATCCGTGATTTTCGGCCCGCGAACACGACGAGATTTGCCGGCGGGAGATGATGGAACGGCAACTCCACGTTTTCCTCATGATTCGCTTGGATAGAGAGGGGGAGGGGGATGCAGAGGAATCAGATTACATGATTCAATGATAGACTGATTAGTCAATAGTATCTAGATTGAGAGAGAAAAGAAAGAAAGAAGAGAAAGAAAGTCGATAACCGAGATGCTACGAATCCACATGGTCGGTTTCAGATTCAACCAGAAAACCACAATATGATCATTTTCATCATCGTAAACATCATCAGAGCCCCAGAATGACCCAGTGTATACTGGCCCCCCTTTTTTCCTCTTCATGGAATGTATCTTGTAAAATTTTTACTTTTTCCAGAACCATCTGCGTACCATACTTTCCATCCGATTAGCAAATCTTCCATTCATTTTTTCCCCAGCCGGCCCGCCGCCCACCGGCTCGTCTACCGGATTTCCTTTCTTTCTACAAGGCCCATCCATACTTTACTCGAAGTAGACAAAAGAAATCAACCCCAGCTACGACTATCCACCTCCCTTTCAAAGATGATTCGAGCTCGGCAGAGTAAGCGTTTAATCCAAAACTAGCACAGAAAAGAATAACACAGAAGAAGAAAAAAAGAGGATCAAACCGGGGAGATCGGATCCAGAATAACTCCCGAAAACCCTCTCTCTGTCTGTTCTTTCCATTATTCCTCTTCCTTCTTTCCTTTCCCTTTCTTGTGTAAGCTTCCGATCGGAACCCGTATACCCAGTACCCAGTACCCAACTTTCCATTTCTGTCATCGGGGGGTTAGGGGGGATTTGTCCTCTCCAACCGAGTCTCCATCAAAACTCTCTGATGATCCTGATTCAATTTCTTGGCTTGGCTCTTGGCCTTGGCTTGCTTGGCTGAGTAGAAAAAAAAAATTATGATATATCAAAAGAAGTTAATGCAGGCATATTTCGGTATGATTATTATACTTTCGGTCGGATCGGACGGATACCTCTAGTTACTACTTACTATACTAAATCATATTTCTTACTCTAAGTTACGGCAGTTGATCGTAACTAAGTCAACTTTGGGTCGGATGGAGCCTACTACTAGCTTTCAGCCTGCCTAGGCTGCAGTAGCCCTTAGAATTATTTATCCATCTATTTATCTATCTAGTCTAAGTATAGTAGATGGTTAAGTCTATTCTGGTTAGTTGATTTGGTTTAGTTGGATGGATGTGGGATGGATGTCGGGGAAGGGGGCGCGGGGAATTCGGTGTTTAATTTTATGGGTTCTGTTTGCACTTCATTATTCATACTGTAGAAGTATTATTAGTACTGTCCTGTTGAGATTGATTCTAACTAGCATAGGAGATGTGCAGTTGGAAAAGAAGGTTAAACTACTCGGCCGGTAGGAAAGTACTACTACTTTTATTTCCCTAGCAAGGATGACTACTACTGTACAGTAAGTACTAGGGTCCCCACTAAGACGTTAATCGATGATACCTACCCAAATAGTATGTAGTCTTGCCTGAGGTTTTTCTATTGTCTTGTTTGCCGACGTGGCCAATTATGGAATGAATGGATGTAGTTTCCGGGTATTAATAGTACATGGCGGTAAGAGGGGATGTTTTCTTTTGGGTGACTACGTATGTATGTATGTATGTATGTAACTATGTGCTTTGTAAGTAGTGGATCCCTATTTAACCTCTGAGATGCATATTCGGATGTCGGATATAAGGATGAGAGGATATTGGAGGATGAATATATGGATGTATGGTAGAGAATGTAATCGGTTCCAGTCCCATGGTTTGGAATTTGAGTTTCTCGGCTAGATCGACACGAGGTTCGGTTGATTTTCATACCCTTCTTCGGATGTGAGGATATTAAGTCATAAAGATACATAAAGTGACATAAGAAGAGGATAAATGTAGTATAGGATAGTGTGTCATGTGTATGTATCTAGGATGGATCGGATCTCAATCTATGAAACGGAACCATAAATCGAATGACGGATGATAACATGGAACAAGTGGGGGGAAAAAAAGAAAAAAAGATAAAAAAAAAGGTATCGTTTCACTTAGCGAGTATACTGCTTCTGTAGCAACTTGGCAATCGTCTGCAATTGAATGTTGCTGGTTCCCTCGTAGATGGCGCCGATCTTGCTATCCCTGAACATCTTCTCGGCGATACCTTCACGCACGAAGCCCATGCCTCCCATCCACTCCACTGCGGAGCCAGCCACGCGGCCAGCAACTTGCGAGGCATACAACTTCGCCATTGCGGCATCTTGCACGAAGTCTTGTCCCGCTTCCTTCTTGCGTGCCGCGTTGTAGACCAGCGCACGGGCGGCTGCGATCTCAGTGTACGCTTGTGCCACCTGGTGCTGCATGCCCTGGAACTCGCCGATCAGTTGGCCGAATTGGCGTCGATCATTCCAGATGTATCTGCGACACGTGTTAGCAATGGAATTAGCGGCCATGGGATGACTGCTTCAGGTCCCCTCGGAGATACGGGAGTCCCGCGGAGATATGGAGAGGTGGTGTTGGGGGATGCTTACTGTGCAGCATTCTCCCAGGCGCCGAGGGCCAACCCGGTCATCTGGGCGGCAATACCAATTCGTCCCTCGTTCAGAATGCTGATGGCGTACTTGTATCCCTGGCCTTCTTCACCAAGCAGGTTGCTCTTGGGGATCAGGACGTCGTCGAAGTTGAGCACGCAGGTGCTGCTGGCCCGGATGCCCAGCTTCTTTTCTTTCTTCGCAATGGAGAATCCCGGGGTATCCTTCTCCACGATGAAGGCGGTGATACCCTTGTAACCCTTGCTGGGGTCAAGGTTGGCAAAGACAAGGAACACGCCGGATTCCATGGCGTTGGTAATCCACATCTTCGATCCGTTGATCTTGTACCCATCGGCCGTCTTCTCGGCCTTGGTCTGCAAGGCGAACGCGTCCGATCCGGAGGCCGGCTCCGACAGACAGAAAGAGCCGACGGTGCCAGTAGCCAGCTTGGGCAGCCATGTGCGTCTTGCCTGCGCGTCACCGTACTTCATGATAGCGGTGTTGACTAGGGTGTTGTGAACGTCTACAAGAACACTAACACTAGGATCGACGCGAGCAAGCTCCTCAATCGCCACGATCGCCGCCGTGAAGTTCATCCCCGCACCACCGTATTCCTCCGGAATTTCAATGCCCATCAGTCCTTGTTCGAAGAGTTGCTCGACCACGGCAGGGTCCATGGTCTCCGCTTCATCCATGTCTCTGACTTTGGGCGATATTTGCTCCTGAGCAAACTTATTGACGGATTCGGACATTAAGGACTCTGTTTCGGAGAGGAAGGTGATCGGGGTGGGCGTCAGTCCGGACAGGTCGACATCCCGCCGGCGGGAGGTGGTGGAAAACGCATGGGTGCTGCTGGAGGAGGGTGTTAGCAATAAGTAACGGCCATCATCGTGGGTGTATTGCTATGGCTCTTGTCCTGTTGAAGGCTGGTGACGACCAAAACTCACCTCACAGCTAGCCTGGCCGACAACGGTGGTCTTGCGATAAGGCGGGCGGAGGTAGCAGTGCGCGACAAAGGCCGCAACGCACGGGTAATAGACGCCATATCGAAATGGAGCTGACTGGATTAACTGGTTATAGTGTGTAACTCGAGGCCACGGCAAGACACGCAAGGAGAGGAGGAAGGGAAGAGGTGGAAAGCAGGTGGTGATGGGGAGAGATCACGAGTGAGGAGCGCAGACGGGCCTCGGTTAAACGCGGCCGAGGGCCGTCGATCAGCCGTCTCCCCGTTTCTCCAGCTCCTCCAGCTCCAGCTCCATCTCTCCGCATTTAACCACCTGCTGGGGCATATCTACGAGTCCTGTCAACTGGAAGCCATACCAGATTAATTAGATATCATTTTCTGAATGTCACTACTAACTTGTTTCTGTCAAAATAGGTTCCAGTGCGCCTATCTATAGCCCGAGACATGAACTCCCAACCCCTCGTTCACATGCCATTCCCGCTCTATCAATTATCATATGCTTATCACCTTTTCTGGCTCAAACACCTTTGCTTGAGAAAAGTAATAGCCTCGCTGGTTCGCCACAATACGCTTCCCCGTTCGACTATCTGTAAAGTCACAGTTGTAATGCGTATGGCCAAATCCCCACAGTCGCACCTGGGGTTTCTCCCAGCACGCCTCTCCGGCGAGATCCGTCGCGAACGCCGATGATATGGGACTCTTCGCGTGCGCGGGATCCACCGCCAGAGGTGCAACAGTTGGACTGTGATGGGTAAAGATCACAATTCTATGATGGGGGTTGGATCTTGCAATTTCAGTGACCTGATCGTTGAGCCAAGCTCGGTCAGCTTCGTGAGCAGCGCAGTGATCCTCGACCGACCAGTTCTTGATGTAGTAAAAGTCATTCAAGCCGAAGCTAACCCGTTCCTCTTGCATCTCGCTGACCTTGGAGTGAAACGTGCACCCCAGAACCGTGAGATCTGGTGCCAGATCATATCGGGTTTGGTCGAGAAGGACAAACTTCCCTAGGTTGTGAGACCCGGACTTGGTATTTTGCATCTGTGCTCCTTTGCGTGTTATATCGTCAGAGAACCGCTTCAGCTTCTCCCTCACGTCCAACCAACTAGAGTGGAAGGGCTCGTGGTTTCCCATCACGAGAAAGACGATCTCAAACTTGCGGAGCTGATCTTCGATGAACAGGAGGAAGCCATCGTCCCTGACATTGCCGATATCTCCCAGGAGCGCTAGATATGGTGCTTTTGGCGCAATCTCAAACAAGTCGTATCCCTTGGGATTTTCTAGATGCAGGTCGGAGACGATCTGGAACCGTGCCATTTTTAGTGAGGGGCTTGACCTCCCTAGTCTATCCCTCGATCCCAGTTGTTCAGCACTCTAAGCGCCCTTGGCTCCAACAAGAACCCTGCAGCCACTGGAAAATTCGGGGTGTGCACTGACTGGCTTGCCAAAGAGGGGAAAGAGAGCCACCTCCACTCAACCAGGGCCTTTCCGGGAAGGGATGGGGGTTGAATCTTGCCGCCGGCCGCGAAGCTGTTCTATTCTTGTGAGCAGACGGACCACTCACGCGCCGCCGTGAGTATATGTGGCGGTGCGGTGTGATGTGATGAGGTGTGGCGCAGCAGTGCCAAGAGCGGACGGGGGCGATTATGTCACTCCCCTCTTGGCCGCCATCCATTCATTCAATGGTTAATCTCGAAGCTCGTCGGTCTGCCCGGGGTTCGGGCAAGTATTTAGTGCCTGTTCCCCGGTGCTGCTGTCGCATCTCTTCTCCTTCTTCTCTCATTTACTCACTATCATAATTCTACTTGGTTGCTGTGGACAGTACACCGTCTCTCATCTTGCAATCTTCCCCGCCAAGCGGCTGTGCCGTGTTATCAGCTCTTTGCCCCCGCAAAGTCCTCCACTTGGTAAAGACAGGGTCTTCGGTTTCTGAAACGTGTTTACTGTCTATTTTCAAAGCAATTCAGTCATGACTTCTACCGTTCACGATCCAAGGCTACTCTACAGCATCGGCAACATCCGTGCTTTTCACATTCAAAATGGCGAAGAGACAGAGTTGACCCCGTCTGGGCCTCAGACCCTCTCTCTCCTGATGGTCCCCACCAGAATGTCCTCACCTGGCAATTCCCTCTCAACGCCTCCCCCTGATGCGTCTGCAGAGGAGGACTTTTACCTTCATCTGCATCTGCCACCGGAACTGGACCTAGCGCTTCCTGCTACCACCCAGATCTTCCACCAGTCTCCAGACAGCTACTTGATCCCTCGCTGGGATGTGGGCCCTGATGATGGCGCATTCATTCGCATCCAATTTCCAGGTATCGGTTCTGGTCCGGGTAAGGTCACACAGGATGATATCGATACCTTTGAGACAATCCTGGCTCAATGCACGGCGTTCCTCGAACGCGCTCCCCCACCGAGCAATCATGCTCCGTATAATCCCGCAACTTACGCGCCAGGCGAAGGATATGTTGCCCCATCAGGATTTGCCCAGGAGGATGCCCATGGCCGGATCGTTCTTGTGGATGAGGAAGATGGAAGCGTCGTTGGTGAAATGGAAGGGTATGATGTGGTTGAGAAGCCTGGTGTCAAACCTGGCTCGAAGAGTACGTCTTCTATCCCTCCTAGCCCCTGAATGTGCTAACAGTCTTGACTTGATAGGACCCGTGGAGATTGAACTTCCTACTGAAGCCGAGGGTAACCAAGTCAACGTCAGCAATGTCTCCGAGGAATACCTGCGGATGGCTCGTCATCCGGTTTACAAAGACTCGACGATCGTTCAGACCTCTGCGACTGCCTCTCGCTTGATTGTCACTGGATCTTCCTACCTTGCCAACGCTATCACGAGCGGCGCAGAAGCTTTCACCAAAAAGACCAAGCCCAACCCTAAACCGATGACCTTCTCTGACACCACACATTCTCGGATCCGGAAGGTCGGTACATTCTCGCAGGGTGCTGCCGATCTGTCTGCAAAGACGGTTGGTCAGGTGGGTAAATACGCCCAGAATATCGGCGCCTCCCTGGCCCGCCGCAAGGACAATGGTACACAGAGGGGTGTCAATAAGTCCGGGGGCGACTACAAGCCCGGCATCCTGAACAAGTCGTTGATTGCGTTCTCGACTTTAACGGATGGCATCGAGCAGGGTGCTCGCAACGTATTGATCACCGGCTCCAATGCAGCTAGCACCATGATTGGACATCGCTATGGCGAGCAGGCTGGTTCGGTGGCCTCCGACCTCACTGGCGGAGTCAAGAATGTCGGTCTGGTATATATCGACGCCGCAGGTGTCAGCCGCAAAGCTGTGCTGAAGTCTGTTGCGAGGGGCATGGTCGTCGGCCGTATGCGCAACGGGCAGCAGGTCCTCGTTGGCACGGGCGACGGCGGTGATGTCCCCGCTGGAGTAGCTGGCCCAAGTCAGGCATATGGGCGTGAGCCGGTTGTAAGACGTCAGTCTCCCAGCTCGACCCCTCCACCCGCATACGGTGCACCAGGCACTACTTCATTGAGCGGTATGTCTATGTCGGGGGGCAAGCGTTGATGCGGATGCTCTCGGTGTGTTCTTTCATTCTGGTTTGGTTTGCTATACTCTGTTTAATGTATGATTCTATGACCTTGATGCCCTGGGCTGGTGATTTCCCGCGTGTCGTCTCTTCTGCACTCTTTCGGATGATTTTATGACACGTCCTTGTTTAAATGGAGATATGATGCAGCCTGATATACGGTAGCACATCAATGAGACGGAAACAGCAGTGACATTTGTTCTTGTCATATACTACACTAGAGAGACCAACTCTATCTCCAGACTAGGTTGTGAATATTAATTCTCGATACCCATCACCAATGTTGACTTTCTGTCTACTACGTAGTATAACTATTACAAATTATCCATATCCAGGAACAGTTGCAACGGTTTCAATACCACTGGGCGTAGGTTTATTGTAAGAATGTATCCGAGTTGATATCCCATAATCTTAGGCACAACCCTCATGATGAAATCATCACACCTTAGTACTGCTTACCACTATCTACCGTAGTAAATATATATAGTAGTATATGGTTCACAGTATCATCTCACCAATTCAAACAGTATTACCACCAGCTAACTTACCACTACCCATCCATTACCTTGAACACTGTGACAGTGATGTAGGTCCAATCAAGCTACTACAAAGCATCATCCCAGCACCTCCCTCACGAAGTTCCCAAAACCACACCAGAAAACTACCTCCTTAGCTTAGCTTCCCCCTTATATAACCAAAACCTTACCCCATTTACATCAATAAGACAATATGGCCGAGCGGTCTAAGGCGATAGACTAGAAATCTATTCTCTTCGGAGGCGTCGGTTCAAATCCGACTGTTGTCGATATCTTTTTGTTTTTTTTTCTTCCAACCTTCTCTGGAGAGAACTTTTTTGTGGGAACTGTAAGTATCCATTGTGTGGTTGTTGTGGGTCGTGGGTGGGGTCGGTTGGCGGGTTATCTAGAATTATCATATGGGGGTTGAGATTATGGGTTCTTGGTATAGAGTATATCTATAGTCTAGACTCTAGATGTCTATTGGGGAATGGGATGTGTGCAATGTATGTTTGGTAGTATTTATGTGTCAATGTCGATTCATTGGGTTCATGTTACATAGGATGTAGATAGTCTCCATGTCTAGAGTTTAGGATTCAGGTAGGTAGAATTATTTCCCTGGGTTAGGTGGGGATCTGCTTCTCTATACGGATGAAGAGGGAAGATGGGGTACGACACGCAGTGAATTTTATTGATTGGAAACATGTGAAATTATGTGCAGGGTGATGTAATGTTGTACACCCTATATGCGTGTATGTATGTAGCTTAGGGAGAGCGGGGATAGCAATGCGAACATAATGAGCGAGATTTGCATAAGTACTACTTATGGGTTATGAGCAATCTACAGCTGCAGTTCTGCATAATGCCATGTATAAAGGGGAATATCTGATGCTATACTACAATAATGGATTTATTGGGTAGGACAGCTTTGTCCATCTAGTTAGTAGTCGATATGGTCATTTCGGAGATGCGCATTGAGATGCGCGCGAGTCATTCCCTATCCCCGGAGATGAGTGAAAAGCCATCGGTATCCTAGCAAGACTCCTATAATGTAGGTTGATAACTACCTACTAGATGATCACGCGATATGTACATCCCCGAGAAGGACCGCCTCGTTCCCGGGGAGATCAAGCAAAGGAAATTAGTATACCTCAGACCCTGTCATAGTAGTACCCCATAGCTCAATGCAGAGACAACAAGTAATATAGGCATGCAGGACATGTTCCACGCGACTAGCCCAAGAAAGGGAAAGATCGTAACTGTGGTGTTTATGTGTTCAGAGATTATTTCAGACATCCATGTACAGATACAGATAGTTGCCCATCAGACCCCGATTTGGGAAAGTAAACATGGCGCAAATTGAAATTGGTTTCTCAGACAAGCATTGATTATGTTGCAGAAGAAGACATCGATAAGGCTGGCAGGGCAAGGAGATCTCCCCGACAACCACCAGCAGCAGCAGACAAACAAAGAGATCGATGAAGGGATGCAATTGAAATTATAATTAGATCGGTTGGAAGTTAGCTAGAGTTTACTGTACTGTACAGTAGGTATCAGCAGTTGTCACAGGCTCACAGCGCATACGTAATTGGGGGAAATCTCCGAAACTCACTATTATCATCGGCGCGATGCTGGGGTAACGAACTGGTCGTCGGTCGTCATGCGGAGTAGATCCGGTTACTACTTACAGTACACTCGTAGGGTTACACTGCAAAGGTAGTTGCCCAGGCCGCCGAAAAGTAATCAATAAGAGTCTCCTTGATTGAGCATGGGCCTTTTTTTTTCTGTTTTGTCTTGTTTTGGTTTGTTTTGTTGCTTCCCTGGGAACATCCCTGTCGAGAGTTTCTATTTTAGAGGGATTGGCTTGACGGCCCCCCTCCCTCCCCTCCCTCTCGGGTAAGCCGAGTAGACTAGACTGTCAGCTTTTAAATTAAATAGCTGGATGAGGTGCATCCTAGCTGGCAGGCTAAGGTAGCTAGCTGATCAAGGTCGGTTTCATATCGGGAGACGTAGGAGTAAGATACAGCATTAGCATGGGGTGGTTGGTCCAATGGCGTGCAAGCTGGCGCTAGTTAGTCCAATGCTGCACTCATGGGAATATCTACTCCATTCCGGAAGAATCCGGTTAGTGTGGTTGGACATGTCGTATCAGTAGCTATCAAGACTGGAGGGCGGAGTAAGTAGAGTTGCGGAGGATGGGGTTCAGGAATGGAAGATTTATCGAACATGTAGATAGAAGGGATAAGGACAGTCGATAAGAAAGATATCAGGAACTATGATGATCCATCATCCAAGGGATAAAAAAGGAATGAGGTATGTTCATAGTGCCCCAGCATTAAATAAGCTCGGCCTTGATGGGCAAATAATTGGAGTACCGATCATGGTAAGAAGGACAACTCCAGGGATGGCGGTTATCCCTACCGTGGATAGGATATCCAAGGGTCAAGGATGGGGCAGGTCCCGAGGAAGAAGAGGAGCACGTAGATGTATTAAGCGCTGTGGTTGGGGGCTTTTTTTTTTTTTTTTTTTATTTATTTTTTTGGTCAGGGACGGGTATGATCCATTGACGTGTATGTGATTAAAGTTCGTTTAGTTGAGTTAATTAGATTTGGTAGCGATCGGGAGTTCATGAAGCCAGTCAGTAAGTAGTAGATTCTGAGAGGAAATCATAATAACAAGTCGAATAACAATTAAAACAGCAAACCAGCAAACCAGCAAAAACAGACTACTGTAAGTCCCCTGCTAGGCGGTGGTACCTAAGGCAGGTACCAGTGGGCGGCGTGACCGGCGGTACCTGAGGTGTCCAGGACGGTAATCTTCCGGACAGCCAATCAGCAGTTGGGCGCAGACGATGACTGCCCGGTTAGTCGCCGTAATGACGATCGGCTGCCCCAGCGGCTCCAGTAGCGACTTTTTTCGTGCCGGCTTGAAACAGTGGTTCGATGCCCCTGATGACTTGGCGCCTTCTCATGCTCTCACTTGGTCTCTGGTCTATTCTCTCTCTGGTCTGTCGGTCTGGCTTTGGTGTGTTGGGAAGCTGGCAGCTGGCAGCTGGAATGAAGGTGGTGTCGGCTGATCAGGACCACTGCGCAAGACTCAACTTAAGTATACGAGGGCCGCTTGGTATTATTATAGTGGTCATCGACAGAAAAGCATGCATAAACCGGCACACCAAGTGAGTACGTAGTAGATAGTCGGTTCTAGTAGTGAACACTACTACATAAGGTACACGATCGCCCCATCCGGACGAATGACCAGACTCAGAAGGAGAATCCCAACGGCCGGTCGAACCAGGCAAGGGACAACACCCACGTTCAGGCCCTTGTTTTAGTGGTTCTCATCTGGATCGGGCGTCCATTACGCCCTCTTTCTGCCCCATTTTGCATCCAAGAAGGAAACCGAAGGAGAAAGGGAACAGGAACAGGAAGAGGAAGAGGAAGAGGAAAAAAGAAAAACAAAAAAGCATTTCGTCACCACCTCGTGAGGATATTAGGTAGCCAGGGAAGGCGGTCATCCCCACTACTAACGTTCTAGAGTCAGTCGGGTTTTCCCAATTGAAGCCCACTCCTCCGTCCGTATTCAAGGTTCCCTTGGTCCATTCACATCCCTCGCTCCTCCCAATATTTCCGAGGTTCCCCAATGCAGCTGTTTTTGATGTAGTTCTGTTATGTAGGTAGGTCTCTTATGGAAATGTAGGTTGAGGTTGAGATATGAATATCTTAAATAGAATTCGATTTTCACATAAAGATCGAGCTGTATTTGATTTCATTCATCTGTCATTAGCCTGTTGGTTAAATTCCTTTTTTTCTTTCTACCACTTCTTTTCTTTTCCCGACTGCCATGTTGCGCTTTAACTTCTGGCAAGTTGCTGATGATTTTAAATTGGGGCGGCGATGATTATTCCTGGCAAAGAGATCCGACCCGTTGACCCGCTTTTTGCTTTCCCCAGCCAGCACAGCAAAGCAACGCAAAGCAAATGCTGGTTGACGGACTGGTTGCCCGTTCCTTCTCGCGACTCGCCTTGGAATTATTTGTCCCTGCTGTTTCTCTGGCTCCCCAATTCAGGTGGGAACCTCATTTCTATACTTGACATTCTGTTACGTCCTTCCCGACACGAGGTAACCAGGTCAATTCATTCACTAACCAGATATGAAGTAGTTAGCAGTTAGCAGATAGTACTTAGCAGGTGGCCCCGTCAGAGTGCTTGGGTGGGTGTTCATCGTTCGCAGGAGGGCAATAATAATACCTGGCTTAATTAGCTGTATCTAGTAGTAGTCGACCAACTACTAGCATTATCAAAATTATTATTATTATTTTTATTATTATTATTATTATTATTATTTTTATTCGTATTGCTACAACTTCACACTTACCACCGCCATCTCTTCCTCCCCTTCTCTCTATCCCCTCTTCTTTCTTCTTTCCCATCATCATCTCTTTCCCTCCATCCTCTTCCTCTTCCTCTTCCTCTTCCTCTTCCTCTTCTCTTGTTCCCTTTGTTCTTTTTGTTCTGGTTTCATTCGATTCTTGTTCTCTTCACTTGTTATTTCTGCTTCTTGCCTTCGTTTCGGGATCCTCTTCCTTTTAGACGCCCTCTCCCCCCCCCTGGGTCCTTTGATCCCGCCGGTCTTCCTGCTCCCCTCGCGCCGCGCCCCCCCCTGTCCGCTCCCCGATCCAGAGACGGACGACAACTCCACACCAGGCTTCAAGCACCCCTCTTGTCGCGACGCTACTGCTACCGCTGCTCAAGCA